AGGAATTAGGTGTGTTCTAATTATCCAAAACATAAGGTTGATCAACGTTGTTCGAGAGTATTTCGGCACCGCGAGCATGGGATCTGTGTGGGTATACTTGTACAGGAAGATCTTGCATATTAAACTTGAAAGGTTATGTATTTCTTCATCCTTGGTAAGATTCCAGGACACTAATCTTCAGTGTAACCATTCGGTCAGCCATCTGCGTTTTACTGGACCTTCTTGATAGATGCAGATTACCTGATTGGTTTATCGTTCCTCAGCTAGGGAGCCTCCAATGCCAAGGGAAGCTACTTGTGTTCTAAAATGATTTCTACAGAAGATCTCATTTGTCGAGTCCTCTGGTCGCCTTTTTCCTTACTGCCTTGGTCTAGCTTCGGCTTTTCAATCGACTCTCTTCGAGCCTTTGTTAAAGGTGCGCTTCAACATTCTTCTTTGGTTCCTTCGTCACATTAGAACTACTGCGACTTCTATTTCTCTTTCAAAACTCTAGAACAATAATCCTGATTACATAAAATCTGTACAGTCTAACTCTCTGATCGTGGATGAATTTTTCCAATACAAATTAATTCTTAGTAGAATTAATCTTTCTCCTTCTTTACTTTCTTTGTAATAAACTTTGTCTCCGATTCCGCCGCATATGGAAGGTGTAAAAATTTCTTACGAAAATTCTCGAATACTTTAGGGACTTTCTATTCAATTCGTTCACCCCAAGTCGAATGCTTTTATTTGTTTCTGGCAGTTCGAAAAAAAACCTTTGTCTTAAGAAAGTACGTTTGAGTAGAAACTGTGTATCTTTGAAAAATTTTTCGAACCAACTCAACGGTTTTGAACAGTATTTAGATTGGTTTTAAAAATTTCTCGAAAGATACGTAGTTTCTACTATGTACTTTAAATATGGATTTCTTCAAAACTGCTAGAAACAAATAAGATCATTTAACAAATTAAACAATTTTAAGACTATATTCACAAAAATAGATATATTTAAAAATATCAATACAACAAAAAAATTAAAAGAAACCTTTCGAAATTCTTCTTGAAAACAAAATTTCCAATAAATACGTTCAATTTTTTCTTAGGCTACAAAAATTAATCGAATAACGAAAGTTATTTTTCGGTTATTCTAATGAAATATCAAATTCTGTCATCAAATGAAAGTAAAGTCAAATTCTTGAGATTTTTTTCAATTTGTTTTTATTTCTTTTACATTTCATTATAATTCCCAATTGGTTTTTGAATATTTGGTTGGAAATAGAGGAATAGATATATGTATACATATAGGTGTATAATAATCGTAAGAATGGTCCTGGACTAAGATTGGCATTGACCTCCAAGACGCCACTGACCTCCTTTCGAAAGAACCCGTTCATGTTGTTTCTGAGCTCTTTCGATGACCGCTTCTTTCTCTCCCACTTCCCGATTCCACTCATCTCTGTTCTCTCTGTGTATGTGCGTATCAGGTACCGTTTATTGTATATCCAAGTTTTCGCTTTAAGTATAGAACAGCACTTTTACTTGAAGCAGCTTCCATGCAACCGTTTCTATCTCATTTCCTATACATATATACACACACACGTACAGTTACTATCGAGTTTCACGAGCAAGCTCATCTGCGCTGCTCTCACAGGAAAAATTTGAATCGCTATATGGTTAAGTAGCGCGAACATTCGTGCGTCACAGCCACAATCAACGTGATGGATTTCATAACAAAAAAAAAAATTACACTTTTTTCGGTCTTCATTTCAAAAATTTCAATTTAAACTACCAAAATTTCTTCTGCAAACTGTTGCAAAAAACACACATTCCAGAAATAAAATTAGATTTGTACATGGCTTAAAAATTGATTAATTTTTCCTTTGAAGTATAGTAAGAATTCCAAAAATGACAACAGAAAAATTATGTCTTGTCTGTCTGTATATATGCAAATTTTTTTCTACAGCACGCTAATCACTTTGACCGAATCAAGTAAAAATTCTCAATCTGTTAAATGTTGACCTAATTTAAAATCACCAATTATTAGAAGAAGCAGTAAATTATGTATGAATAAAAATTTTTTAAAGTCAAAAATATTCGTAGAAACAATAAAATTAAAAACTGTAAACAAAAATTTCTCCCATGTGCGAACTTTGGGCCAAGAGGAAGTTAAATTTTGTGGCCATTTATGTTTGAAAATTAAATAAATCTAAACTATGGGCAAACTATAGCGACATCTCTTGAACTATGGGCCAAGAAGAATTTAAATTTTCTGGTCATTTAAGTTTGAAAATTAAATAAATCTAAACTCTGGGCGAATATTTGTAAAATTAATAACTGCAGCTGTGGCTCGATTTACTGAAGATAAAAACAAATTTAACTTTAGAAAAATCATTATAAAACATAATTGTTAATCGCATTATTTAAAAAAAAAAATGTACACTTTAAAAATATATAAAACTTTGCTTGTTAATTTTGTATATACAGTTACTTGTATACCTTTGTTATCGCGATGAAACTCCTTGACAAAAAGTGAGCCAAATAAATTTATTGCACCAAGAATATAATTTAAAAGAAAAAGCACATTTACGTATTTTATCATCCGATTAATTACTGTCTTTGATCAAATATTTTAGTAATTATTTTTATTGAAAACTCAAAAAACTGTAAATTATTCGAAACTAGGAAAGAACAAAACTGTGAAAAAAAAACATTTTTTGTCAATTGAAAACTTAAGATTTCTTTTTATTTGTAAAAAAAAGGACTATATAAAATTACTGGAAAGTAAGAAAGTTGTGCCAGAAATCACACACATGTGACTTACAAAAAAAAGTATTTATTCATTTTTTGACCCCCTTTGTCTTAATAATTCTGACGATAATTAAAATAAAAGATTTTAAAATTTCTGTTTTGCATTATAAAGAACTTTTTTTCTTCTCTTAAATTTTAAGCAACATAAATATTAATATTTTCAAAATATTAAATTTTAAATCATATATATGTGTTATATTTATCTATTTCTTTTTGGATTCTCTAAAAATCGTGTCATTCTTTTTCCCTAATTGAGGCTCCGGATCTTAAAAGGGTACACACTCGAATTTACATCACAAATTTTTGTCCCTGAAGTTAAAAATTAAAATTGTTCAACATCAAATTTTTTAACAGTTGATTCTTATCGTTGGAATTTGACATTGAAAATTTCAAAATTTCAAAACCAGAGGCCAAAACTTGTGATGCAAATTCGAGCTTGTGCCCTCTTAAGATACGCAGCCTCAATTATTACCAATCACAAAAAACCATTAGATATACTTTCGTCCGGTTTTTCAGAGAGTAATTTACAGACGAGAAGCGATTAGAAATCTGTAACACATAAAATATTCAATCAATAACGATTGAGAGAATTCGAGGTAGAGAGAAATTACAATATTAATAATTGACATTCTTAATTTTGGTTTCAACTTTTACATTTTTGTATTTAAGTTCAAAAATATAATAAAACCTTGTAAATCATATAAATAAATTCTTATTAATATACTAGAGTTAATTTTGAAAAATTCAATATTTTTACAAATAAACAGTAAAACATTTACGGATGGACAAATCTGCAAGTTTTTTATTCTTAAAACAGCAAAAATGTAACTAGTTATTTTAAGTTTCAGATATTTCAAAAACATTTTGCTTTTCACATATACGTTTATGAAATTATTTAAAACTATTAATTACTCCGCTATAAATGTATTACTTATAAAAACAAGTGTTAAGCATTATAAAATAACGTACTAATAAAATGTTTACGAGTACATAAAGTATTAATAAATATATAGAGATTTACTGCATCTGCTTATAAAAATTTATAATGAAATTATATACACATAGTATATTTAACAATTTATAACTGAAATATATATATATTAAAATTAAATATATAAACAAGTATACATATATATATATATATATATAGTCGAGAAAAAAAAATTATACGGTACGTGAAATCGTTGAACAATTGGTGTCAAGGAGAATTATTGTTAACCATTTTAACTTTTAGTACATCATTAATCTAGATTCTTTTAACTCAAAAATAATTCAAAAAAAGAAAACGTCGATCTTAAACGTTAAATGGCTTGGGAAAGTAAAGAGAGAGAGAGAGAGAGAGAGAGAGACTTTTTCGTCATTAAATGAATTGAATGTCAGTAAGAAATTACCAACTAATTCATATATATAGACGCGCGAATCTCTACTCGAGTGTTTGAACAATAGTATAATACTGCACTTTCTAGCACGATTTGCTTTTAATTGAACTCTACCCATAAAATAGGACAATTTTCACTTTCATGATGGATTTTATGATGATGATGATGTATCAATAGTGTTTTTTTCATTTATTTTCTATTATTTTAATTTTCTATTCGAAAAATAAATAATTTTTAACAATTTTCTTCCTAAAATAATTTTTAAACGAAAATTATAATCTTTTCTGCTCTTTAAATATTATTTAAATAATTTGTAAAAAAAAATTATCTAATGTCAAATCTGTAATCAAGAAAAATTACCATGTAACAAATTTTGAGCAAATTTGAAAAACATGAAAAACTTTTTCACCATTTTTAATTTTTAAAAACTGATATTCAAATCATATTCACAAAAAATTTGATATACCCCAATACTTGAATTTGATTACTGATCGATTTTAGAAAACAAAAACACAACAGGGGAAAGTTTTCGAATAATTTAACCTACGACCTTGACTTTCTATTAAACGCAATGACTCCTGAACATATTTTAAAGTGGCACATTTGCAAAAACCCTTTCACGTTTTCCTACCACAATCATTAACCATCACCTTTTGTGGTTTTGTATTTGATGCATTACAGCATCTCTCTATAAACTTTAGAATCATTAACCTTATTTTCCATTTGTTTAATTTATTATCAAAATTGAACTGTATAATTTAAGGATTGTTATTTATTGAAATGACGAATATATGACATATATGCTAACTGGATGTACTTTTTTTTTTCTCTTTATAGGTCTTTTTGAAGGAAAATGGCACCAAATCTATTTGGTACATCGGCCACTCTTCTTCTTGAGGCTTCTCAACAGGGAATTTCTCAAGAGAAAAGTATCACAAAACCAGAACCACAGTTAATAAAAATCAAAAGTGATAAGCCTAAATATAAATGGCATATCGTTTGGAGAAATGTAATAGCTTTCGTTTATATTCACGCTGCTGCTGTTTATGGATTGTATCTTACATTCACAACAGCAAAATTCGCCACTTTTGTAACTGGTGAGTAATAATAATCGTCATCATTTGATCTGATTCGTTCGGATTTAGTTGATTCTAAAATGGATTTAATAAATTATAATGATTCTAAAAAAGATTTTATCAGATTCTAACTACATATTACTTTCACTAAGGTACTGTTTGTACAAAATTTTGGGACCCATGATTATGTTCTAAAAATCATTAGTTAGAATTTTCATTTTATGGAATTTCATTTGCCATAATTATTATTGGATCGAATTTTTATTTATTTAAATTAGTATATTGCAGAATTTTCATAAAAACAATTTTCTATATTACAGAATTTTTATACAACCAAAAATTCACTTCACAGAATTTTTATTTTTGTAGATCAACTGTCAGCGCCGACATTTTAATTTTTTTTACCTTTTGGAAATAATTTTTTAATATTTTAATATGTACTTAACAATAATATATAATTGCCTTTTTAATTCATTTTATTCTGTTCTTGAAAAAAATCTTAAAAATGTGTCTGATTTTCGGTCTTCACAGTACTCTAATCCCTTAAGGCCAGGTCCAAATGAGGCAGCGCTATCTATATTGAAACTAAAATTTTGGAAAATTACCAACAGCCTTTTCTTGAAAACAAGAAGGTAAAATGCTTTTTTCTTTATGGATAATTGATTATCAGCAAGAAATACACCAGCTAAAACTTTTTTTGGGTTAAAATGATGAAAAAAATTTCATGTCAATAAATTAAATATGAGCACTTTTTTCACAAAAACTGTAACAGTACTTTCTCAGAAATTACAATCAAAAATGCAATTTCCATTTGGAAAATTAATAAACGCTAAAAAATACACGACCTAAGATTTACCAATCACGAAAATAACAAAAAAAAAGTTTTTTAACATAACATATTTTACTAATTATGACAGCCGTTTGGCAGGTTATATATGTCACCAGACGTTTCGCGATTTTGCCGAAAGGAGGAGATTGGCGCTGTTACTAACCACCTGAAATACATAATCTACCAAAGGGCTGTCACAATCAGTAAAACAGTATCAATATGTTAAATATTAAAAAAACTTTTTTTTTGTTATTTTCGTGATTGGTAAATCTTAGGTCGTGTATTTTTTAGCGTTTATTAATTTTCCAAATGGAAATTGCATTTTTGATTGTAATTTCTGAGAAAGTACTGTTACAGTTTTTGTGAAAAAAGTGCTCATATTTAATTTATTGACATGAAATTTTTTTCATCATTTTAACCCAAAAAAAGTTTTAGCTGGTGTATTTCTTGCTGATAATCAATTATCCATAAAGAAAAAAGCATTTTACCTTCTTGTTTTCAAGAAAAGGCTGTTGGTAATTTTCCAAAATTTTAGTTTCAATATAGAAGGCGCTACCTCATTTGGACCTGGCCTTAAGAAAGTTCTATTGCTTGACTCAACTAGTCAAAACAATAACCATTTTTTTCTGATTTGATTCACTTTGTAAATTAGAAAGTCTGGCAACACTGCTTATATTATTATTATTATTATTATTATTATTATTATTATTATTATTATTATTATTATTATTATTATTATTATTATAGGATTAAAAAATTATAATATTAATACATATTAATTAAGTATTAATATAATATAATAAATTAATAATTAAATATAATATTACATATATTATTTTCCATAATTTATCTTATTTATATACTTTAATTATTTCAAGTATTGTGTTTTTTTTAAATAACGCGCGCTTGAGTATATTCTAACCTCAAAACTTTGACGCGCGGAATACCGTGTTGCCAGACGTTGAAAGTTTTGCTCGCTGTATCACAAAAAATAAAAAAAAAATTATAAATTAATTAATTTGAACTCTCACAGGTACCTATTGTCATTTTTTAAATACAATATCGGTTCATTACATATCTGTGTTTAACTATACAAAATTTGATCAATATCTCTTTGTTTAATAATTTGTAGTACAAAAATAGATGTGAAAAAATAATGAATTCCCATAATAATCAATGTTAAACAATGAAAAAATAAAACGAATATAACTTTTTTCTCAAGAACCTACAGGTCTCAAAAATTTAACTACATAATTTTAGAAGCATTATTTAGTAGTACACCAAGTATTATCAAAATCTGTTTGTTTATTCGTTTATCCATAGAACCTCCTTAAAGAATTTTTATTGGGTAGAATTTCATTGCATAGAAGTTTCTTTCAGATGAATTTTCATTTGTTCGAATTATTATTTGATATAATTTCCATATAACCGATTTTTCATACAACAGAATTTTCACTTAACATAATTTCTAATTGATAGAATTTTCATTTGTCCGAAATTGCAAATGGCCGAATAAACAATCGATTTCGGCGCTATTTTTAAAATCAACCAATCAACAATTATCCATAAAATTGTGATTGATTGATTTTAAAAATGGCGCCAAAATCGATTGTTTGTTCGGGCATTTGCAATTTTGGACAAATGAAAATTCTATTAAATGATTTTTAGGTTAAGTAAATACTCTGTTGCATGAAAAATCGGTTATATGGAAATTATATCAAATAATAATTCGAACAAATGAAAATTCATTTGAATGAAAATTCTATGCAATGAAATTCTAACCAATAAAAATTCTTTAAAATGCCTATTATGTTAAATGAAAATTCGAGCAAATAAAAATTCTGATTAATAAAAATTTGAACAAATAAAAATTCTGTGAAGTAAATTTCCAGTTATATAAAAATTCTATAATGTAGAAAATCGTTTTGATGAAAATTCTTCAAAATACTAATTCAAATAAATAATACAAATTCTGACTAATAATTTTTAGAAGATAATCATACATTCTTTTAAATAGTATAATATTAATTTTAGTACTGTTTAGAAATTTTTTATTATTTAGAGAAGAACTATTTTTTGAAAAAATTTTATCTCACAGAGAACGAGAAAAAAGTCGACTATGATTTGAACAATTAAGAAGCATTAACCTGAAACACTTTGTGTTTCACGCTCTCTAAATCACAATAAGTGAAAATTCGCTTATTCTATAACAATAAGTCAAAAGTCGTCCTCTTTTTCAATCAGTGAATATAGAGGAAAGTGATTGGGAAAAGTAATCTTTTTAATTTTTTTCCTGGAAATTCTGTAATCCATTTTTTTTAATTGCAAGAAAGTTTGCTTAATGAAACATCGAGTTTTTTAGAATTAAAAATTTATCCCCAAAAAAATGATTTTGATTTTACAGTTGAATTTCAAACAAAAAAATTTTTTTTTTATTTAAAGTGTAAATTTAAAAATTTATCTTTTTTCAGCTATATCAATTGGTATCCTATCTGGAGTAGGTGTCACAGCAGGTGCACATAGACTTTGGGCACATAAATGTTATAAAGCCAAATGGCAAATGCGATTAATTCTAGTATTTCTGCAAACAGTTGCTTTTCAGGTAATAAATTTCTACCTTATTCTTTGAAAATAATGTTTGAATTTATTTCGAAAAGATAATTTCATATTTACTTTATCAGTTTTGAATGAATCGTTAAATTCAATAAACATACTAATATTTACATTTATTAATACAAGCGTAAACATATCTAAAAATTGTATATTTTTTTTACTTTGCAGAATCATATTTACGAATGGGTGAGAGATCACAGAGTACATCATAAATTCACAGACTCTGATGCAGATCCACATAATGCAAATAGAGGTTTCTTCTTTTCTCACATAGGATGGTTGATGGTTAGAAAACATCCCGATGTCTTTAGTAAAGGTGTTAAAGTCGATATGAGTGACATGGAGAAGGATCCACTTATTGTGTGGCAAAGAAGGTAAAAATTAAATTAAAATACTTTCGTGGTATTAAATATAAAAATATTTTTTATCTATTACTATTGTAATATTAATTTTTAAAAAATAATTCAAAATTTAATGAGAATTTTATTTTTAGATTGTACGTTATTTTGATGCCCATCTGCTGTTTCTTGATTCCAACTTGGCTACCCTGTTACTTGTATGGAGAAAAACCAATTGTTGCCTGGTACTTAACATTATTGAGATACGCCTTGACACTTAATGGAACATGGCTGGTTAATTCAGCAGCTCATATTTGGGGAACTAAACCTTATGACAAGTAAGTTCATTTTAATTTTACTTTTAAATTTCAAAATTTTTTGAAAGGCTTACAAAAACGTTGAAAAGCGTCTAACGATCTAAAAATGTTACAGCCCTTTAAAAAAAAAAAGAAAAAAGAAATCTCTTGATAAGTTTGGGATGAAATTCAAAAAATATTTGTTTTTCTTACAATAAATTTGAATAAAAGCATAATATAGAAAGTTTTTTTTTATACAGAAAATCTGAAATTTACTTCAGATCACCGTTAAAACTACCTTCAATTTAAATTCAAGAAAAGTTAGGAAAAAAAAACCTAACAGGTTTCCGAGATATCACTACAAATGTCCGGTTAGTGAAACATGAAAACATGAAACATGAACTATGAAAAAATGGACATTTGTAGTATTATCTCCGGAATCCGTTAAAATTTTTCAACATTCTTGAATTTAAATTAAACTTAATGCATTAAAACGGTGATCTCAAGCTAATTTCAGATTTTCTCTAGAATTTTTCTAGATTATACTTTCAGTCAAAATTACAGAGGCTAACAAAATTTTGACCTACTTTAGAATCAAAAACCAGACTATACTTTTCCGAAGTATTTTGAATTCGAATCTGATCTCGCAAAACGGCTTTTGCATTTTCAGATTCAAAATTCGGATTCAAAATACTTAGGAAAAATATAGTTTGGTTCTTGGTTCTGAAGTAGGAAAAAATTTTGTTGGCCTGTGTTTACGAGAAACGAAAATTTCTAAATTTCTTGTCCAAAGATATATATATATATTTTTTTTTTTTGAAGGGCTATAAAATTTTCAGCAATATATGTCTTTAGACGAAGAATTTAATTTTAACGGTTTTTGTTTTGACTTTCTAACTTATATTTTAATTAGGTTAATATTGTTTAAAGTGCATATAGTACTTCTGTTAGTTGTACGGAAAAATTCCAACGGTTTTGTATTTAATTTTTTCTCGAAAATATCATTAAATTAAATAACCGTGTCTATTGTCGATGTCAAATGACAGAAAAATGTTAAATTTTTCAACATTTTCTCGAAATGAAAGTGAGTCACAATAGGGCCATTTGGTCTTAGACACCGACCCGTGACAATGCTGTGCTTACAAGGATCCGAATCGTCAAAAAAAGCATATCGCGATTACTGTTCATATACATTGATTTATATGGGCAGTATTTCAAAATACATAATGTTCCCACTTTTAACCGGCAAAAAAATTTTACAAAAATTACCCCAAAAAGAAAAACGTTTATATTTCTTATAAATAATTACAATCATAAAATGTTAAGATCTCGAATCACATTGCATTGGTCTTCGACATGAAAAGTTATTATTACTGATTCTTCCAAAGTCATCATTTGTCTTTGTGTATTATGATAGAAATGACAGAGTACAACAAAGTTGTCACTTGTCACTTTTGTACCAAAGTCATCATTTGCTATTTTTGCAGAGTTGGCAATTGTCTTTTTCGTATCGTCATCACTTGTCTTTGTCTATTATACTAAATGCAATTAAGTGTGAAAAATTTATCAGTCGTCTTTACAGGACGCATGATAATGTTCTAAAAATCATTAGTTAGAATTTTCATTTTATGGAATTTCATTTGTCATTATTATTTTTAAGACGAATTTTTATTTATTTGAATTAGTATTTTGAAGAATTTTCATCAAAACGATTTTCTACATTACAGAATTTTTATATAACTGGAAATTTACTTCACAGAATTTTTATTTGTTCAAATTTTTATTGATCAGAATTTTTATTTGCTCGAATTTTCATTTAACATAATAGACATTTTAAAGAATTTTTATTGGTTAGAATTTCATTGCATAGAATTTTCATTTAAATGAATTTTCATTTGTTCGAATTATTATTTGATATAATTTTCATATAACCGATTTTTCATACAACAGAGTATTTACTTAACCTAAAAATCATTTAATAGAATTTTCATTTGTCCGAAATTGCAAATGCCCGAACAAACAATCGATTTTGGCGCGATTTTTAAAATCAACCAATCACAATTTTATGGATAATTTTTGATTGGTTGATTTTAAAAATCGCGTCGAAATCGATTGTTTATTCGGCCATTTGCAATTTCGGACAATTGAAAATTCTATCAATTAGAAATTCTGTTAATTGATTTTTCGGTTGAGTAAAAATTCTGTAGTATGAAAAATCGGTTATATGGAAATTATATGAAATAATAATTCGAACAAATGAAAATTCATCTAAAAGAATAAAATGAAAATTCTATGCAATGAAATTCTAACCAATAAAAATTCTTTAAAATGCCTATTATGTTAAATGAAAATTCGAGCAAATAAAAATTGTGACAAATAAAAATTCGGTGAAGTGAATTTTCGGATATATATAAAAATTCTGTAATATAGAAAATCGTTTTGATGAAAATTTTGTAAAAATACTAATTCGATTAATTAAAAATTCGTCTCAATAATATTGACAAATGTAATTTCATAAAATGACAATTCTAATTATAATGATTTTTAGAATATAATCACGCGTCCCTTCTTGTCTTTTCGTACAGAGACATCACTTTTTTTTATGTACGTACGTCATCGGATTCTTTCACAAAAAATTTTATTCTATTATCAAAACAATTTTTTCAAAAATGTTTTGTACCAGAGTTGTCACTTGTCTTTTATGACTTGACATTAATTTTGTCAAATTCTGGGTGTTCATTGCTTACAAGTTGCCTTTCTGACTTTACGGTAATTTTAATAAGTCCTAGTCGTTTATTGCTAGTAATTTTCGTGCAGTCTTTAGTAGACTAACTCCTTTGTGCGGATGGCTTTTATTGCTTTATTGAAAGTTGTCACTTGTCCCCCTTTTTTATTAGAACGTTATCACTTGACTTTTAAAAATCATAATAAAAATGATTATTTTGGATTCGCGTATACATTAAAAGAAGAACTAAAAGAAGAATCTATGAAATAAAAGAAAACAAATTTATTTTCAACAGCACAATCAGTCCAACTGACAGTCTCAGAGTTGGATTCTTAGCATTTGGAGAAGGTTGGCACAATTATCATCACGTCTTTCCATACGACTACAAAGCGGCTGAACTTGGAAATTACAGAGCAAATTTGACAACTGCATTCATTGATTTCTTCGCTTGGATTGGATGGGCTTATGATTTAAAAACAGTTTCAATTGAAACAATAAATAAAAGAGCTGCCCGATCAGGTGATGGTACTCGATTGCCAGTTCCAACTGAAAAAGATTCACAATTAGAGAATGATAACAAATCAGAAGATCATCATCATCATCATAATCATTCTCACGATAATTGCGTATGGGGCTGGGATGACAAGGATATGCTTGAAGAGGATAAAAAAGACGTTCAAATTTTTAATAAACGTGATTGAATTTCAAAAAAAAAAAAAAAAAAAAAAAAAATGTTTTCAAACAAAAACAGAGAATAAGCATTTATGATATAATTGCGAAAGAGTGATTCTATTTATTATGAAAGATTTAGTTATTAGTTTATATTATAGATGATAAACAACTTGTATATATGTATTTGTGAAATGACTATGAATGTTACAAACATGATTCGATTATCAGAATCGATGATTGGAAAATTAAAACCATGGAAAAAAATTTGTCTTTGAATCTTGAAATAATTTTATATTTATTAATTGAAAATTAAAAAAAACTAACACAGTAATTTACATATATATATTTTTTTGTTAAAATAATTTTAGTTAAAAATATGATTTTTTTCAAACTAAAATTATTTTTTCATTTAAATTATATTTAATGTAAATTAGCTTTTTATTTAAATTATTTATTTTGTATCCTATTTACTAGACACAATATTTAAACGAATATTTAATACATTCTCAAGAAGTTATTAAAAAAATTACACAACCAAATACCTTTATTGATCTTAGATTTAATTTAATTACATATATATTTATTTAGATCAATAAAAGAAATGATATTTATTAAAAAAAAAAGAAAATTTCATTAATTGTTTGATTCAAAGAAAATTTTACTCTAAATTGTTATTAATTTGAAGAATATTGTATATGTGAAATTTGAATTTATTGCGTGATAAGTGATAAATACGTGACATTATAAAAAATTAATTTTTATACACAAAATTGATATGAAAATATTTTTTATTTTTGATATTTTTTAAAATAATTTTTGGTTAAAATGATTAAAAATTTCAAATATTAAAACAATTCTTTAGAGTTTGTGTCAGAAGTATCAAAATTTTATCAAAAAGTTGATATTACTTTTTAAGAAGAAGTTTTACTAAAACTTGTAGGTATTATATTTATTATTGGAATTTAAAAAATGTATTCAATTACCATCGTGGATAAATTATTTTATTTTTATTTATTTGCTCAATAAACTGTCTTTAGCTATATAATTTGATTATTAATGAAAAAAAGACTAATTTTTATTTTATCTTTTATTAAAAAATAGAATTCAAATTTCTTTTTGTACATATATTACAATAGTTATAAACAAAAAAAAAATTGTTGACTTTTTAAAAATTTATTAATTTAATTTATTGATAAAATTTGAATTTATCACTCGATAAAATAATAATAATAATTGAATGAAAATTATTAATCAATAAATTAATTTAATTATATTTTTCTTTTGAATTTTTATCATTTTGTCTTTATAATATACTGAAATCGTATAAAATATAACATTAGAAAAAAGAATAATCAACTTATAGGCGATAAGATAGATTTTCTAAAACGAAATATAAGATAATGTCAGATATATTATATATAATATTTGCGTCGAAGTTTTAAAAATGAAATAAAAATTTTGTACAGTAGTGCTTTGAGTAGATTTATCTGATACTTATGACAATTATTAAGTATCTTATAATAAAATTATAATCTTATATATAATTTTAATAATAATAATAATTAATTATAATTCTATAAAGACTTTATAATAGAGTGAAACTTTGAATTTCAAAGATTTTCAAATGTAGTACGAGATGTTGCATTTGTATTTATAAATAATAAATTATTGTTACAATATTTCTAAGATTTTTTTTTCATTCGTTAAACAACTAGAATTAATTTCTTTTATATTTATCGAAATGAAAAAAATAAAATTTGCAATTGAATTTTTGGTTAAAAAATCACTGAATGTTTTCAATTATTATTATTATAAATTTAAAAAAAAAATTTAATAAAAATTTTTTAATCCTTTATAAATTTTTCGACAGTGGACTCGGTAATTTGCAAATAAAAGAAGAAAAATTATTTTATTAACACAATTTTTAATTTTAAAATATATTATTAAAAAGAAAAAATTTATATAAATTGAAAAAATAAATTAATAAACAATTGATTTTTCGGATTCGTTTCAAAAGAACCAAAAAAAAATTATAAATATAAATTTTTACTTTCACAATAGTTAGAGAGAGAGAGAGAAAAAAAATCAACAGGTGAATGAACTAAAAATAAACAAAAGTAAACATTATAACAAATTGATAAAACAAAAATACATTCATTTCCGTAGTCGTCATAATTTGTTTCAATTATATCTACCAGGTCGTATTTATGAATGCAAGTCAGGAAACTCGTTGTTCTACTATAATTAAGAACAATCATTATTCTCACTGCAATTATGTCACAGATAGAAAGTATTATATTGTATTTACAAAATTATAGTCGAAAAAAAAATAATTGTGTCAAGAAAATTTTTTTCTTCCTTACATATAATAAACAAATTATAATCATTGATACTGTACAAAAATATTATTAATTTTTTATAACACCAAAATTATTACAGCTGTTTTATTTATTTAATATTAATTAATTAATATTTAATTATTTATATTTATATAATTATAAATAGATTAAATTATTAATCATTAATATTAAAAAATAAATATAAATTATTTAATTTATCATAGATGTTGAATTAGTAAATACTATAGTTATAATCGAACCTATATATAAGTGAAATAGAATTCACGTTCCCTTAGGGTCCCACTTATCGAGGTTCAACTATATAATATTTAAAAAAATGTTAAAATTACAACCCCCACAACACGTCCCGATTAAATAAATGTTTAGTGTAAAACTTTCCTTAACATTTATTTAATCGGGACATTTAATTTTCACTAAACTTTGCAATTAAATATTCCGAACATTTCAAATAAATCATTAGGAAAGTTTCGGTGCAGTGAAGGAAACGATTTATTTAAAAATAAATAACCGTGTCAAATCTAATCATATTATTTTGGATTAAAAATGGTTTGGTAATTGTAACTAAATACATTTTTTAATATAACAAAAAGTAACAGCAATAACTATAACAACAGTAACAACAATAACAACAGTAATACCAACAATAATAATAACAACAACAATAGCAGTAACAACAATAATAGAAACAACAATAACTGTAACAACAGTAACTATAACAACAGTAACAAAAACCACAACAACAAAAACAACAGCAATAATAATAATAACAAAAACTACAACAAAAATAACAATATCAATTACAATAATAACAACAACGTTAACAACAATAAGAACAGCAGTAACAACAATAACAGTAAGAGTAATAACACTAACAGTAATAACAGGAACAAGAACAGCCACAAGAACAGTAATAATAATAATAACAACAATATCCAGCAATAACTCAAACAACGGTAACAACAACAACAATAACAACAGCATTAAGAACAGTAACATTATCAATAACAGCAATAACAATAAAAACAGTATCAAAAACAACAGCAGCAACAACAACAATGGAAATAACAATAATAACCACAACAAAGATGACAACATCAATTACAACAATAACAGTAACAATAATAACACTAACAGTAATAATAACATTAACAATAATAATAATCATAACAACAACAATAACTACAAAAACAAAAACAGCTATAACATCAATAATAACTACAATAACAATTGTATAAATTATTATTAATTATTAATTGTATTATTAATTGTAATAATTTTTATTCTGAAAGATTGGATTTTTTCAATAATAATGTCACGGCTTTTGTTACATCTTTACGTAATTTACTTTATAATGATAATTGAAATTTTTTGTTGTATTCTTTTTTCTCATCGATATACCTCTTAACATGATTAATAATTAACTTTGATGTTTATCATTTAACATTTGGCGATATACTTTTAGTTTATACATATGTAAATCTTAAAGGGTCTTAATTGTTACCCGTATAAGGCATGAATAAATAAATAAATAAATAAATAACAACAACGGCAATAACAACATTAATAACAGAACAATAAAAGCAACAATAAGAACAGCTGTAACATCAATAATAACAACAATAACCAGCAATAACTAAAACAACGGTAACAACAACAATAAAAAAAGCATTAAGAACAGTAACATCATCAATAACAGTAATAACAATAACAACAGTATTAGGGACTGTCACGGAACAATCGTATCGTACCTGGTTTGGTCCTAGGTACTATACGATTATCAACTTCACAATCATATCGTGTCCGGATACGATACTAATAGCAACATGAGAATCGTATTAGAGCACGATACGAAAAATTACTTGAGAATCGTATCGTATCCCGGCACGATGCGATAAACTACTTGAGAATTGTATCATATCCCGGCACGATACGAAAAATTACTTGAGAATCGTATCGTATCCCGGCACGATACGATAAATTACTTGAGAATCGTATTGTATCCGGGCACGTTACGAATAAAGACTTTAGAATCGTACCTTGCTTATAAACAATTTTATTATTTTAAGCCAAAAGTTCTGAATGTTCAAATGAACAAAATATTTTTTTCAATTTCTAAATTATTAAAACTTATGATGGAAATGTAAAATAAAATATATGAAATATTAAATTTTAAAAACATACTTAGAAAATATTATAATGTAATATATTATTTCATGAAACGACACGATTTTAATGTTACAAATTGTATCGTGCCTGGGCACGACACTTTTTACCTATTAACTAATCGTATCGTGCCTGGACATGACACTTTTCACCCACAGAAAAAACTTGGACTCATTTTTGTTGCAACTCATTTTCTTTTGGGTATCGAAATGAATATGGGACAAACTTCATGTTATTCAAAATGATATTGGCTGGAATTTCAGATTTCTAAGTTGGCTTGGCATCATAAGCAGAGTAATTTTGTATTTCAATTATTGTTTCTAATATTTCAACAACACCAGAAAGATTATTTTGACCAGTACGAATATTTAGAAGTTTTTAAATAAAAATTATTTATTATTATTTACGTAGATAATAATTAATTTCATAAGTTTTTAAATTTACCGCTATTATTTAAGTTGGCAGTACCGTTCCTGTTGTCAAAACACATGTTTTCATTTTTCTAACCTAAAAACATATTTCCTTTATTATTTTATTACGCGATTACAAGCAATTTTTAATCAAATATATTAAGTCTAGCGTGTTATTTACTTCTTTGTAATTATTATATTTCATGTTTTTGTGCAAAATTATTCGTTATTTCACAATATTTTTCCATTTTTCTTTTTCTCAAAATGAAACTTGCCTGTTTCATTTTGATACTTTTACCTTAGAACTCGAAATGAAACAACCAGTTTCATTTTTGTTGCGAATCAAATTGAGTATAGAATCTATACTCAATTTGAATTCAGGTTTTTTCTGTGCTATGAACTAATCGTATCGTGTCTGGGCACGACATTGTTCACCTATTTACTAATTGTATCGTGTTGGGGCACGATACGTTCCATCTATTACTAATCGTATAGTATCTTGGACCAGAGCCTATACGATATTCATATAGCGTACAGTTTCGTACAGTCCCTGAAAAGTATCAAAAACAACAGCAACAACAATAACAATGGAAATAACAATTATAACTACAAGAAAAATGACAATATCAATTACAACAATAACAAAGACAATAACAGCAGTAACAACAGTAACAATAACATTAACAATAATAATAACAACAATAACAATAAAAGTTGACAGAAGTGCACGGAATGAAAAAGTGTTAAAAATATTTTTAAATTAAGTTTTAAAAAATAATAGTAATTGCTAATTTTTAGTGTTTATTAGACTTTCATAATTAATTTTAAGATTTCTAAAGATATTTTCAATAAGTATAAAATAAATTACTATACTTTTTAATAAAAGTCTTCAAAAATCTTAAAATTAATTTTAAAAGTCTAACAAATCGAAAAAATTAGTAGTTAATAATAATAATAATAATTTATATATTTTTTTATAAAAATATTAAAATATTTTTAATACTTTTTCTTTCCATGTGGAAGAATAACATATAGGTATTGGAGATTGGGGGAGTGGGATATATATATATGTATATAGCGTGTTATTCATGCGATTAGTTTGTTCTTTATCATTCTTTATTCATTCTTAGTCTTTCTTAAACGTTTGGACAAGTAGTTGATAGTTCTAAAAATATTTCAAGAAATGTTAAAGTTTATTTCGATTAGGTGAACCGTGTATACATATATATATATATATATGTATATATGTAAATTTCGCACGTTCTAAAATTTCATCACATCTTTAAAAAACTAGTTAATTCGAAGTCCAATGCAAAAGTGAGAGTGCCTTTTAAATTTCTTTTGCATCTTTAATATTGGGGTAAGTGAATAATTTTAAAGGACAAAAGAAAAAAATAGATAAAATTTTTTATTAATGACAATTTATCAACTACATTATTTAAAAAAAGTCCCATCTATGGGAATTGAAAAAAATAATTTTTTTTTTTGAAAATTTAAATATTTATGAAAAATTAATTAATTAATTTAATATTAAAATTAATAATTCCTATGAAAAAAAAATTCTCAGGTATAATTTTAATAATAAAATGAATTAAAATAAAAAACAATGCTTCAATCTGTATCGAAGATTAAAAAATAAATCATCGAAGGATTAGTGATAATTTCTTTAGTCAGAATTTGATTGGTAAATCGTGTAAAACAAGATTAATATAGACGAAATTAATACTAAAATGAATAATTTTAATTTTATTTATCACTGAAGAAATGTTATTAACTTTTTTAAGAATAAAATGCATATAAGAAATATTCTTAAATTGTCGCCAACAATATTCTTAAATTTAGAGTTTAATTTTTTCGGTGTAAAAAATTAACAATTTCTTGCATATTTTTTTTTTTTAAATTATTTATTTTTTTTAATAAATTAACGTTGTTAATGTGAATTTTGATTTTGACATTCAAATTACAGTGAAAATTCGATATAAAATAGATTAATTTGTTTTCTTTTTTAAAGAGGTCATTGCTTTTATTTGAAAGTGAACTAATAGAGATACATTTAAATTTGTCCCTGCATCTAATGACCATGAAGAATTATCCTCAAAGAAGACAATTACTATCTCACCAACGCAGTATTTTGTAATCATGTCCCACTTTATTTGCATAGTTGAAAAGTTTCACAGAAATTTAAATTTATTTATTTTTTTTTTGTAAAATTTCAAGGATTACAATATTATATAAAACGGGCAAATCTCATCAATTCTTCATTTAGAAAAAAAATTGCATTATTTAATTATACAAACTATTAATGTAATATTAATTAATTATTAATACATTAACCCCGAAATAATGATAATAATAATATAGTAACAACAAGGTAAATAAAATATTTTTATAAAGTCTTGATAAAAATATTTTAAGAATAAAAATTTAATTATCACTATAAATGTTATTTTTAATCAATTTATCTTATTCTAATTTTCATTATAAAATGTTTTTTTTTTCATTTTTTAGTACAATCAAATTCTGAATTAAGAAAAAATGCACGATAAAAAAATATCACGTTTAGTCAGGTAATGAATTTTTTTTAATGTTTCTGTTACTAATCTTAATTGGTGAGTCAGAATATTAATTGTAACCGTTTTATATCGTATCGTCAGTCACTGTTTATTTGTATTTTTAATTATAATTATATATCCCTTGCAGATTGTACATACACACATGTCTTCAATCTTCTAGTGATACATTTTTTTTACTTTAGTGTTGTATATTTTATATTATTATCAATATAATTATAAATTTATAAAAAAAAGTAATGTAATTATATTAATTATTTTTCAATTTTTTAGTATTGTATTTGTTATGTATACCTTCTAGTACCAGACAGGTAAGTAAATTTTTGAAGTTTTGAAGTTGTTTTTGATATTTTTACAAAAACTAAGTTTACTAATTAAATTTAATTAATTATTAGTTTCTATAATAATAATAATAATAATAATAATAATAATAACAAGTTGTAAATTCAGATGTTCATTACATGAACATTTTGCTTCCTCGTGGAGAAAGCAAAATTTTATTGCCAAAATGTGATTTTGATTTTTTAACTTTCATTAATTCTTTAAATTTACCTCAAATGTATACTTTATATATATCTATCGATTCGTCTTGACGTAAGGAATACAATTATTTCATATATAAACTTCAATTTAAAAAATTACAAAATTTTATGGCTAAAAAGTGAATTTTTTATTTTTTAACTTTCATTAATTCTTTAAATTTACCTCAAATGTATACTTTATATCTATTGATCGATTTGTCTTGACGTAAGGAATACGATTTTATTATATATAACCTTAAATTTGGTCAGATTTGAGATATTAATATGATAAATGAGCCTACCAAATTTTATCTAAATCCATTAAAACCTGTTAAAGTTATCTTCTAAACTAAAAAGGGATCCACACACACACACACATACACACACATCCGGACAATTGATCAGGATCTCATATAACATGTTTCTATAAAGAAAAAAATTTGTTTCCGCCACTTTGAAAAGTTTTATAAACGAAAGGACTACAAAGCTTCCTCCACGAGGAAGCAATAATAATAATAATAAAAATAATAATAAGTATAGATTAGTGTCTAGAATTTAAAGATGAATCGGATAAACAACCAAAACAAAAGTTAGTCCTTTCTCCATATTTTTTAATTTTTAAATAAAGTAACAATTTAGACTTTAAAATGTTTCAGTTTAAATATGCAAACAATTTAATTTTTAACATTTTGAATTATTTAAAGTTGGATTTTAATTTAAGAATTGCAGTTTTTTGACAATAGGGAACTGTTTTAGGACAATATCATATAACCTAAAATTTAACTATCGTTTTTTTTTATTTAGTAAACATTTTTAAAATTTTTATTTAAATGCAATTTTTATTGATTTAAAATGTTAAAAATAAAATTGTTTACACTTTTACTGAACAACTGTTTATCTTAAAATTATTTATTTATTTAAAAATATAAAAATATAAAATTGGACTAACTTTTGTTTTGTTAAAATTTTTCCTTAAAAATTAAAAATAAATTATTTCTCATAACCCACATAGCACGGCTTCTAGCTGTGAGGTTATTGTAAGGATATTTGTAGGGTTTGTAAGGTTACTGTGTAAGCCTATACAATAAACTTGAGGTCATCTTAAAACTTCCGTCATTACAGCAAGCTTACACAGTAAAGCTAAGGTAAGCTTACACAGTAAGGTCGTGGTAAGTTTACATGGTAAGGTTGTGGTAAGTTTACATGGTAAGGTTGTGGTAAGCTTACACGGGAAGGTTGTTGTAAGCTTCCGTAAGGTTACTGTAAGGTTGCTGTAAGATTACTGTAAACATAGAGTATAATGAAAATATATTAAAAATAATTACATTATAATATATATTATATTATAAATTGTTTTTATAAAAAATTATATATTTGGTAAAGTACTTCATGCACCCGGATAGGGTTTGTTAAATAAAATTTACTGCGCAGTCGTATGTGCCATAAAAAACTACTGCTCATAAATATTAATAAAATTTATTTATTAATAACATTCTATGTTTACAGTATCTTTACAGTAACCTTACGGGAAGCTTACAACAACCTTCCCGTGTAAGCTTACCACAACCTTACCATGTAAACTTACCACTATCTTACTGTGTAAGCTTACTGTAACCTAACAGCAAGAAGTCGTGCTACGTGGGAATAAGATAATATGATGTTAACCTTTATGGGACTGAGGAAAAAAACACCTTCTATAGGCGGACGAGGTACCCGGGTACCTATGTTTAATTTATATCAAAATTTTAATTTTATATAATTTAAAAATTTAATTTTATATCAAAATGAGCAGTTTAATTAACTTCAATGAAAGTATTAATCACTTCTGCATGCATGCAGAAACATTTAGCCAGTCACACTTAAACGAAATCTAGTGAATGTTTAGTAACTTTCCAGTTACAATCGAAATTTTTGGAAAATTACTAGAAAGTTACTAAACATTCACTAGATTTCGTTGAAGTGTGACCGACCAAATGTTTCTGCATGCATGCACAGTGCATGCATGAGATAGTGTGACCGTACCATAATTGTGACGCTCCACGAGAAAAGGGACCTATCGCGACAAAAAATTAATTTCCAGTTTTATATGCGAATCGATAGTATTTGAGTTGCTCTTTCATATAGAAATGTCAAAAATAATATTTTTCTAATTACTTTTTAGGGTTCCGTACCCGAAGGGGGAACCCTATTAATGAGACTGGTGAAGCAAGGCATGTACCCCCCCCCCTCTATCGGCCACACGAATTTATCTAGAGGGCTGAAATTTGGTATACATATGTATTTTGGCGTGTAGATTACAGGAAAAATATAGCGAATCTCATAGGAATTGATTATCATAGCGTTGTCAAGGAAAAACCATGAATTTTTACGAAAAATACCTGAAAATGACTATGTACCCCCCCTCTGGTTGCCACATCTTTTTACATAGAGAGCTCAAATTTGGTACACTTATGTATTTTTACGTGAAAATTACAGGAAAAATATAGCGAACTTGATTTGGATCAATTTATATAGCGTTGTCAAGGAAAAATCAAAAATTTTGAAAAAAGCGTTTAATCCACCTAGCGCACGCACACTATTTGACCAAGATAGTTCATAATTGGTATACTTACGTATTTTTGCATGTAGATTACAGGAAAAATATAGTGAGCACGATTGGAGTTGATGATCTTATTGTTTTTAAGGAAAACTCATATTTTTAGAAAAAATCATGGATTTTTCGAATAAGAAAAGAAGAAAATTTTATCCTAAGGGATCCAAATTTAGATTTTTTTCCATATATTTTTTTACGTGTAGATTATAGAAAAAATATAGCGAGAACGATTCGACTTAATTATCATAGCGTTTTCAAGGAAAAACGGATAATTTTCGATAAAAATCATGATTTTTCACCAAAAAAATTTTTTAATTGAGTTTTTTCAAAACATACAATTTTTTTAAAAAGTGGACTTTTTCCTTAATTTTTACAATTTTTGACCCAGAAAGATTAAATTTTCTTCCTTTTTTGGGGGCAAATTCTTGATTTTTTTTTAACTCTTAATTATTGTGCTTGCTATATTTTTTTTGTAGTGTTTTGCCATTCTTTATAATTTGCCATTTTCTATTTTTTAGCATTTACTATTTTTTTTATCTTTTGACATTTTTTATTTGTTGATATTTTTATTATTTTTTAGTTTTATTAATTTATTTTCAAATCTATGCGCTCACATTATTTTCAAATTTATGCGTAGATTATGTTCTAATGTCTATGTTTTCTATCTAGGCCTTCAAACTTTAAACCCCTCAAATTTTAGGCTTAAGGGTACGGGACCCTCGGTTTTAATGCGAGTGTAACTCGCACTTGTCCGATTTTTTTTGTAATAATCAGCGTCACATATAGAGGTATCCGGGTAACCTGTCCGCCTTTTAAGAGTGAAGAAACTTTATTTATTATTTCTGAATAAATAAATATAAAAGGTGCATTATAAATAATATTAAAACATTTTTTATAGTAAAATTTGAGATGTCAAAAATCCTTAGGTCGATACGATTTTAAAAAATAAGAAAAAAATCAATTTGAAAATGCAAAAGGTACCTGCTCTCCTAATTTGAATCAGTGAAATTTCACTGGTGAAATAGCTAGAAGTCGGTTACTGAATCATTTAGTGAAATTTTCACTGAAAATCAGTCATATATCACTGATTTCCAGTGAAAATTTTACTAAATGAATCAGTCAATCTGTTTTACCCATTACCGATAATACAGAATGACTGATTCATTTAGTGAAATTTTCACTGGAAATCAGTGATATATGACTGATTTTTAGTGAAAATTTCACTAAATGATTCAGTAACCGACTTCTAGCTATTTCACTGATTCAAATTAAGAGAGTGGGTACCTCGTCAGTCCCATAAAGGTTAAACATTCAAAAAAGAAACAAATAAAAAACAGAAAATAATATTAAATAATATTAAGTAATATCAAGTGGTGTTTTCTAATTTTTGGCCTATTGGCCAAAAAAAAAAGAAATTTATATTTCTAAAACTAATATTAAATAATAATAAAATTTAATAACAATAGTAAAAAATATTAATATTAAAATTATTAAAACATATAAAAATATTATCTATCGGATTCTAAAACAAAAGAATAATATTTATTATTTATTCTTATTTTATTAATATTATTATTAAATTTTTAAGAGTAAAATATATTTTTAAATATACGATTCAGTTTTCTAAGAAACTATAATATTTTTTTCCAAATTCTCTTGCAGTTATCTCATAAGATAAATAACCATATATTTATTTGAGTCAAATAATTTTTTTTCACTGTAAGCTTTAAAGAGTAAGTCTTCAAAAATTGATAAATCCATATTTTTATTTCCATTTTTTTATTTTATTTTATCCATAACCTGAAAAATCACACATGTCACATGTGTTTTCGAAACAAACTGTTTCGAAAATGATTTTTAGTTTTAAGATTCTTTAATTTTAAGTAAAAAAATTTTAGTTTAATAAACATTAAAAATGGTTTTCAAAATTATTAAGATAAATTTTAAAATAATTATTTATACTTAAAACTTTATACATGATTCCCAATAATCTTTCGTACTTTTCTTTGCAGTTATAACCTAACAATATTTGCCAAAAATGACAAAAAAACAAAAATATTACATTACTTTAATCTAAATTATGTAAAATTATCACTACGCTTTAGTCCTTCAGTTAACCCGGTATGTATACATACAAAAAGAATTTCGAAACATCTTATTAAATGTATCTTCGAAAAAATCCAAATGTGATTCTATCGAATTACAATGATGATATTTGATGAGGACACAGAATTCTGCGTCGAAACGCGTAATGTAAATTGATGTTAAAATAAAAAGCCAATAGGCCAAAAATTAAAAAACACCACTTGATTAAAAAGAATTAAAATTATAAATCAACATGGTTATGTTTTGAAATTGAAATTTCTTATTTAATAAATTTTTTTTCTTAAATTCAATAGTGACAGATCAATTAGTACGGTCATTAATATGTAATTCATAATATATGTATATGTAATTCATTAATATGTAAAAAAGTACCCATTATTTATTATATAGACACAATCAAATGTAAATAAACTTCTTTTTTTTGTAAAATTTACAGGATTCTTAATTTATTATTAAAATGGTTGATAAAGCAGTTAATGGCGACATCTCTAGGCGAAGAGTATCATCTTATCGACAGAGAGGAGCCGGCTCTCCACTTTTAGGTTTTCTTTGTGGACTTTGTGTATTTCTCAGTCTACTTTGTTCCTGTTTAACAGCACTTGTGGTTGTTATGAGTGATAAAGCACAAGCAACAAGTTTACTTACAGGTAAATTTAAATTTATTTTATTTCATTATTTATTATCAATTTTAAAAACTATTTTCATTTTGTTTATCCCAAGACAAAGTTCATCTGACACCATATAATATATGTTTTATTTAAATTATTTAGTTTTTCTTTTTCTAATATTATTATAACAATAATGTACCAAAATAATTGTTTGTAGTGTGCAATTTTTTGTTTTTTTTATGTATATAATACCAAATATAAAAAATTACCGATGTGCGGGTTAATTATCAACAAATATCCAAGGACAAATCTCGGTTCTGTTGGGAATGTTGTGCTGACATCTAGAACATTCCGTAGAAACTAGAATTTCAATAATATTCGAAATAAATTTTTTTTATTTAAAAATCCTTCTATAGTTTACTTAAATTCAGGAAATTTTTTTTTATCTTTGCTAACATTTCTGAAAAGCCTAAACCATAATATTCAATTTCCAATTTGGATCATGCAAATCCGTTGTTTTGTTAACGAGATATAAAGTAGTTATTTACCCCGCGTTATCTCGGGTCTAACCATGGGAGGGGGGGGGGGGTTAAGAGTTTGAATTTTGTTTTAAAATTAATTCCATCATGTAGATCAGTTTTCACCTTTTTTTTTAACAGATGTTATTTCTTCGATTTTGTGCTTTGACATTTCTTAAGAAGCAGACGCCCCAAAGAATTGTTATTTCAAGTCGTTATAATTATTCAAGTAAGAAAGTATCACAATTTATATGTTTGATCAAGTTAAACAAAAATCGGAATAAAAATAATATAGTTTTATACCCCAAATATTGAATATTAAGAAAATTAATTAATTAATAAGTATATTAAAAAAAAATTATTATTATTTTAGCAGATCAAAAAAAGTTCAACATTTACACAGCAATGGCAACGGAAAAAACACCATCCGATGTACCATTTAGACTATCAAAAGAAGTAAAACCAATTCATTATGATTTATTAATGCATCCTGACTTAGAAAATGGAACATTTAAAGGCATTGTTACTATTTTAATAAATGTTTTGGATAAAAGAGGATATATTGCTATTCATCAAAAAGATCTTAATATAACAAAAACAAAATTAACACACGAGAAAGATGATGTTTATGAAATTCCAATAAAGGAAACATATACAGTGGAAAAACAAGAAGTTTTTATGATTTCCACTGAAGAAAATCTCAATCCAAATAAATATCATTTACATTTGGAATTTAATGGATTATTGAGGCCTGACAAAATTGTTGGATTTTATTCGAGCAAATATAAAGACTCTCAAGATAAGGATAGGTATCAAAATTAAATAATCTTATTTTATTTTTCGATAAAAAAAATGTGTTATTTGATAATTTAGAAATAATAGAATTCAATATATGATGTATTCCACGTCAAAGTGTAAGTCCATATGCAATTGCATCTTCGATTTTTTTGAGATTTTTTTTTTCTTTTAGTATTAATTGAGACTAGCTTCCATGAATTTTTTCAAATTTTTTTAGCAAAGCCGTTTTCGAGTTATGGAATTTTGAAAATTGGAGAATTTTCATGTCTTAATTTTTGAATGCTCATAAATTCCTTAAAAATGCATCAATTTTAAAAATCTTTTTTTTTCAAAATGTGTGTTTTTAAACGTACTTTTCAAAAAGAAATTGAATTTTTTTTTTTTAAACGATATTACTATCAAATTTTTGAGTTTTAATGATAAAAAAATCATTTTTCTCATTTGACGTACTGATCGATTTTTTTCAAAATTTTTTCAAAAAAAAACTATTTCTTTTTACGAAACTTTTAAGCCTAGTCCGATAACGGGCAAACGATTTTTACAATATTTTCAGAATTTTTCAAAAATTTTTGAATTTTGAATTTTTTAAAAATATTTTTGGTTCTTTTTTTATACTACGTACTTTTATGTATTTTTATGCGCTGATTACGAAAATTATAGTGACAATACCCAAAAATTTGATTTTTATGGTGAAAACCATAAAAAAGTCTCAAAATTTATGGTTTATTTCGTTTATTGGGTAAAATATGCAAAATTAAAAAAATGTATACGATATAAAAAATGTATTTTAATAAGATCTATAACTTTTGTTTGAAAGTTTTTCTTTAATTTTGCATATTTTACCCCATTATTGAAACAAACCATAAATTTTGGGACTTTTTATGGTTTTTACCATAAAAATCAAATGTTTGGGTATTGTCACTGTAATTTTCGTAATCAGCGCATTAAAATACATAAAAGTACGTAGTATAAAAAAAATCAAAGATATTTTTAAAAAATTCAAAAATTAAAAGACATGAAAATTCTCCAATTTTCAAAATTCCATAACTCGAAAACGGCATGTTAAGAAAATTTGAAAAAATTCATGGAAGCTAGTCTCAATTAGTACTAAAAGAAAAAAAAATTGGAGATGCAATTGCAGATGGACTTACACTTTGGCGTGGAATACATCATATGTATATATGAGGCAAAATTTCTGAAGTGATCCAATTGTCAAAATGTGAGCACTGCATTTTTTGAAAAGTCATAACTATTGTATAACAGGGTGAAAAAAATTTTGACATAGGGGAGACCGGGGCTGTTTGGCGCAGGGGTTGCTTGGCGCACTTGTGTTTATTCAAAAGTGTTAAGTTACATTAATTTTTCTCTTTATTCTGCTTAAAGTACTTGATGATCTGTAAGTTTGTACAAAATTTTATTAATATTCATTAATTATTGTGGAGTATAGATTAAAATAACTGATTTTGGCACTCCAAAGTAATTTTTTAACCTCTTCATTTTTTTGTGATATCTCTTTAAAAAATTCATTTTAGAAGAGCTCAAATATTAAGTTTTGAGCTCTATACATTTGTTAATAAGAAACAAAAAAAATTGTTTGATTTATATTAACAGTTTTTATAAAAAATTAATAAATATTTCAAAAGTACATTCGTGGTTAGGTGGGGCGGTTATCTGAAAATTTCGTTAAATATTAATAAAATGAAGTTGATTATATGAAATTTACACATTAATAAGCACCAATAACAATCCTATTCAAAAAAATTTAACCGAATAATGGTTTTTAAATATTCACAGCGTTATTATAAAAAAAATATTTTTTGGTAATTTTACGATTTCATTTAAATCAAATTTCATTTAATTTAAATGAAATTTTCTAATTTTTAAATTTAAAATAATTTTATTGTAAAATTACAGTACCTTTCGAAATCATATAGGTCAAAATTTGTTTCACCCTGTTATACAATAGTTATGATTTTTCAAAAAATCCACTGTTCTTATTTCACCAAAATTTTAATTCTTTCTCCCCTCTACAGTTTTTGATAAAAATTAATAATAATTTATGGGTGAAGTACTTACTCATTGTACTAAATGTTATGCAAATTACAGACCTGTCTAAGAAAAATTATTTTTGAATTGGATCACTTTAGAAATTTTGCCCCATATATATATATATATATAATGGAATTATATTTGTAATGAAAAATTTTGTCGGTAAAAATTATATTTCAAAATTTTATTTACAAAACTTAATTTAACATATATAATTTTGAATGTTTAATTTATTTCAATAGTTTAGTTATTTTAAAAAGTTTTGAATTATTGCGATTTAAATTTATTGGGAGAATTAAAAATTCTCAATTACATTAAACAAAACTTATATCAATTTTAGATATATTGCAACAACAAAATTTGAGCCAACTTACGCGAGAAGAGCTTTTCCTTGCTTTGATGAGCCCAGTTTCAAAGCAGAATTTACTATTAAAGTTATTCATCCATCAACTGATTGCTATGGAGCCATTTCCAATATGAATGTTGAGGTAAGACAAAATAGAGTAGAAAAATTTTTTCTTTATATTTAATCAAATTTAAAGCCTAACAGTACCGTAAAATGGGGTAAAGTTGGCGATTTTTTGAAATTTATCTTAAAAAACTATAAGAAAAACATAAAATACAACTTTAATACTTTTAATATATATAAAGTTTCACTCCTCGTCTTTAGTATCATTATATAAAAAATTTTTTTATCAGAAAAATATTTATACGCCTTTTTATTGTCGCTGACTTTTCCCTGAAATGCGGAGTAAAGTCGGCGATCATTTAAAAAATATTCATTGACAAACCAAGAATGTTAGTTTAATTAAATAAAGTCAATTTTTTGAAGTAATTGATGTAAAAAACTCAAAACGAACATCTAATAACGTTTAAATAAATATTTAATAGCATTTTCCTTTATATAAATGTCTAACCAATAGAATCTAATTTAATTCATTTTGTAGATTAGAAACAAGTAGAACAGAAAAGTAATGTAATTTTGTTTAGTTTTTTACTGTTGCCGACTTTTCTTCCGAATTCAATAATATTTGTAAATGAATGTTTTTCAAAAATTCTTGTTTATTTTATGACAATTTATCTTTTTAGTAAATCATGCCAGGGATGTTTGAAATATTTTGTTCAATCGGATTTGTCATTAAAAAAAATTTAAATAGAGCTCTAGAATCATGTTTTCAATACCATTTAGTGAAAATGTAAAATGAACATTTGTATAAAAACCACATATTTCACTAAAATTATTTACTGAATATGGGACATTCTATGGGAAATTTTCATTGAAAATTTTTTTTTGTCCGAAACATTTTTTTTTTGAAATCTATATGAAAAATAAGGAAATACGTATTTTTTTATTTTTTTATTTGATGAAAATGAAGGAAGTAATGATTTTTTGAAATTTAATGTCAACGAAGAAAGTGTGTTTTTGGAACATTTTTTAATCTATTGTACTAATAAATTAAAAATTATGCTATATATGAAATTTGTTCATTTTTTCTCAAATTTTTCAAATATGTGCTAAAAAATAACGTACATATAACAGAAGCAACAACAAAGTTGAAATTAAACTTGTAAAGTGAGTTTTCTCAAAAGAGACACTTTCGATTTTTAATTTTTTTGCATTACAATCTCTGATGACTGAAGAATTTTTTCCCCTATCTGCGAAAGTGGTATTTTTAGTTTTTAAATTACTATTTATAATTTTTTTAGTACGGCTCACAGAATTTAAGCATTTTTTCTACAAATATAACCTTTTCCATTAACATTCATTTGTTTTTTTTTTAATTTTCATAAAAACATACTAAAAATCGTTGCGTCAAGCTTAAAAATTGTAAATAGTAATTTAAAAACTAAAAGTACCACTTTCGCAGATAGGGGAAAAAATTCTGCAGTCATCAGAGATTGTAATGCAAAAAAAAATAAATTTTAAATCGAAAGTGTCTCTTTTGAGAAAACTCACATTATAAGTTTAATTTCAACTTTGTTGTTGCTTCTGTTATAGGTACGTTATTTTTGAGCACATATTTGAAAAATTTGAGAAAAAATGAACAAATTTCATATATAGCATAATTTTTAATTTATTAGTACAATAGATTAAAAAATGTTCCAAAAACACACTTTCTTCGTTGACGTTAAATTTCAAAAAATCATAACTTCCTTCATTTTCATCAAATAAAAAAATAAAAAAATACGTATTTCCTTATTTTTCATATAGATTTCAAAAAAAAAAATGTTTCGGACAAAAAAAATTTTCAATGAAAATTTCCCATAGAATGTCCCATATGAATGAAACAAATGTCAAAGTAATGTTTGACGTTCATACAAACCAAAGTAATCATAATTAAGGATTTTTTCTCAGAAAAGAGAAAAAGAAATTTTTAAAATTAATTTGTAATAGTCGCCGACGTTACCCCATTTTACGGTAATATTGGAAAATATTTTGTTTTAAGAAAAAAATCACTCTAGTGGGAATCGAACTCCAAACATAATGCACACGAGTCGGAACTCTTAACCAACAAACCAATCTGCTTTGTAGTAGTTTAATATTTTTTGCTAATTATTAATAACTGCAAGCAATCTATAAAGTTTTATATCTTGTGAATAATCTGAATTTTAAACAAGTCAGATTGGTTCAATTTTTTTTTTATAAATCCAAAATGAATTTTAATTTATTGATTTTAGCGGTGATTAAAAATATTTAATTTAAATATACGTATGTATATTGTATAGATATAGTGACAAAAATTTTAATTTTTTCAAAAAAAATTTTTTTTATTGAAAATGGTACTTGTAGTTTTACATACTTGGTTCAGAGTTCGATTATTATCAGCAAGATTTTTTTCTTAAAAGAAAAATTCTCTCAGACATTTTGAATTTTAAAAAACTAATGTCAGATTCGTAATTAGCGACTCCCAAAATCTGCGAATTACTAGTTTTCAGGCGAATGAACAGTGATAGAAAATGACAAAAATTGGTTCAAATTAACTTTTAAACCACAATTATGAAACAAATTTAAAAATTTTTGTTTCCTCTAACTCAAAAGTAAAATCTGACATTGGGCCCGAGACCCAACAGTCAAAAAAGAAGTATCACAAAATTGCGTACTTTTCCAGATATTTGCAAGTTTCCATACTTTTTCAATACCCTGTATAAACAATAATTGCAGCTAAAGGTTGTTTGTGGTCAAATAAAAACAAATTTTTTATTAAATTTGCTTTTGATTATTGTGATTGTACTTTCTTTTATTAAAAAGTTGTTTTTCGATCAATTTTCTTATTTTTTTAACCCTTAACTGGCACTATGGGTCCAGTAGACCCAAGCATTTTTTCGGGTCCAAATTAATTGAATGTGTAGCTTTTGAATATTTTTTATATTTTAATATATTACTTTGACATATTCATAGTAATTTTCTAAGTTTTTTGATGCGACTAATTCGATACAAAAGAATAAATTAACTCTTCAAATATTAATAATTATAAATTTTTAATTTGAACCTAAAAAGTCACATTTTATTCTGCAAAATAAATTCCTTCTTTTTTGCAAGTCCTGCTGTTGTTACCATTTACGTTCGAACGCTGAATTATGACAGTTAAGGGTTAAAATAATTTTATAAACAAAAAAAAAAAACATTTTTATTCTGTACCAGCGCAGATATGACAATTATATGTTTCTTGCACATCGGTTGAATACAAACTCAACCTTATTTTGATATTTATATTTCAAAAATAGTTTTAAAAAAATAAAAATGTCGGTTCGGCGTACGCGACATTTTTGCCTTGGGAAACAATTAATTCTACTTTCAAACAAATCTTTAATGACTTTTTGATTAAGAGTAAAATTGCCTAAAACTAAATGAAACACACCATGGGGTCTCTGTGACCCCCAAATGTACATTTTCAAGATATTTACAAGCCAAAATATTGTGCAATGTAGTTGGTATGTATCGGAACGTGTAGCCAGTACCTAAAACTTGTAATAGATGGCGTCAGGCTTGCCAAATTGAAAAATGTGTGAAAAATATATTGAGCAAAAGTTAAAATTTGCATTCCCACAGAAAAAAAATATTTTAAGAAATATTACTATATAATTTCAATATTCAGGTATAGAAGTACAATTAATACAATAGGGTGTCATAAATGGTTTATTATGACTAGACTTCCAGTCGACTTTATTGTTGTTATGTCCCCTTATCTCCTTATTTTTTTTTCAAAATAAGGATAATAATAATAATAATAATAATTCTTTTTTAAAAATATTTAATATAATATTTTAACATAAATTAACTTGTAGATTACAATTATGAAATTCGAAATTTTTTTTTTATTTATTTAAGGTCGAAAATTTAATATTTTAATATAATATTTTAATTTAATATTTTAATTTAATATTTTAATTTAATATTTTAATTTAATATTTTAGTATAATATTTTAATTTAATGTTTTAATTTAATATTTTAATTAAATATTTCAACACAAATTGTGCTCCCTGCTTGCTTCTGCCATCTGACGGCGACAGGACGTAACAAAACATAAACAAATACTTCAAGTAATATTACTATATTATTTTTTCAATATTCAGGTATAGAAGGACGACTAATACAATAGGGTGTCATAAATGGTTTATTATGACTAGACTTCCAGTCGACTCTATTGTTGTTATGTCCCCTTATCTCCTTGTTTTTCTTTCAAAATGAGGATAATAATAATAATAATTCTTTTTTTGAAATATTTAATATAATATTTTAACATAAATTAACTTGTAGATTACAATTATGAAATTCGAATTTTTTTTTTATTTATTTTTTTGAGGTCGAAAATTTAATATTTTAATTTAATATTTTAATATAATATTTTAATTTAATATTTTAATTTAATATTTTAATATAATATTTTAGTATAATATTTTAGTATAATATTTTAATTTAATATTTTAATTTAATATTTCAACACAAATTGTGCTCCCTGCTTGCTTCTGCCATCTGACGGCGACAGGACGTAACAAAACATAAACAAATACTTCAAGTAATATTACTGTATAATTTCAATATTCAGGTATAGAAGGACGACTAATACAATAGGATGTCATAAATGGTTTATTATGACTAGACTTTTAGCCAACTCTATTGTCGTTATGTCCCTTTATCTCCTTATTTTGCCTTTAAATATTTAATATTTTAATATAATATTTTAACAAAAATTAAATTTTAGACCACAATTATGAAATTTGAAGATTCTTGTTTTCTCTAACTCAGAATTAAATTCTGAACAGATAGTGTAATTATAAAATTAATTGCAAAAAATTTTTTTCATAAGAATAATATTTTAGCGACTTAGATTTAATATTAATCGTAAAAAATTCAATTAATTTCTGATCTAAAATGACCTTATAGTGTATTTGTTTATAAAATTTGTTTTAAAAAAAGAAAAAATATTTATCAAAAAACCAATTTTTAATAGAAAAAAGTCCAATCGTCTAAATCAAAAATAAATTTACTTAAAAAGAATTTTTTATTTGACTACAAACAGACTTAAAATGTAATTGTTGTATAATTTGTTTATAATAATTTTTAAGTGTACAAATTTTTTTCATAGTTATTTTATTCCAAAATTTTTACGGCGTCGAATCTTAAATTATCGAATTTCTATTTAGCAAAATTGTATAAAGTGGATTTTATATTATGCAAAATTTTCATATCGAAGAATTTACATTTAACTAAAATTCGATTTAAAAGAATTTCTATTTAGCAGAACTCTTATAAAGCATTTTTTCTAATACTTTTTTAAAATTTTGAATTAATATAATTTCAATTGAACGAAATTTATGTCTATAAAAATGGACAAAAAAAGAACTAAGTAGAATTTTTCTTAAATGAGAATTCTGTTAAATAAGAATTAGTTCGAATTAGAATTTTGTTTAACAGAAACTTTGTTAATTAAGAATTTTGTTAAATAGAAATTCTGTTAATTGTGGATTTATGCAATGACAATTCTGTTAAGTAAATATTTTGATAATTCAAAATTTTCTATAATAAAAATTCTGTTAAAAAAATTTGTATTTATGCAATTTTTTTGACATAAATTCCGTTAAATTGAAATTGTATTAATTTGAAATTCGATGTACTAGAAAATATGCTTTATATAATTTTACTAAATAAAAATTTGATAATTTAAGATTTGACGCTGTAAAATTTTTTTTAAATTAAATGTTGAGAATATTTATACGTTCCCAATTAGTTTATTTATTTCACTTAAATGTTTTATTTTTACGAAAGAGTATTTAATTGGTTCAAATACATATGAAATTAGTGGATAATAGACATGTAAATGATTTAATTTTATCAAAATAAATTTTATATGATCAAAATAACATTTTTTTAGTGTAATTTAGGTCAAGGAAAAGTCAGGGAATTTTTTTCCTATCAGTTTTTAGACATCCTGAAAAGTACAATCGGTTAAATCAAAAACAAATTTACTTAAAAAAAATTTTTTTATTTGATCACAGCCTGAAAATGCAATTGTTATATAATTTGTTTATAACAATTTTTAAGTGTACAATTTTTTTTCATAGTTATTTTATTCCAAAATATTATAATTCAGATGAAAAAAATAATAATATTAGGATGTTCGTTTTAGACACATTGCCCCTATTTATTTGTAATTTTGAGCTCAATCTTACAATATAAAGTCAGAATGGAATATAATATACTTTGTAATAAAATATAAAGTTTAAATTCGGGTTCCCACAGAAAAAAAATTTTAAAGTAATATTACAATATAATTTCAATATTCAGGTATAGAAGTACAATTAACACAATAGGGTGTCATAAATGGTTTATTATGATTAGACTTCCAGTCAACTCTATTGTTATGTCCCCTTATGTCCTTATTTTTCTTTTAAAATATTTAATATAATATTTTAACAAAAATTAACTTTTAGATCACAATTATGAAATTATTTTTTTTATTTATTTATTTAAGATCGAAAATTTAATATTTCAATACAAATTATGCTCCCTGCTTGCTTCTGCCATCTGACGGCGACTAGACGTAGCGAAACATAAACAAATACTTCAAGTAATATTACTATATTATTTTTTCAATATTCAGGTATAAAAGGATGACTAATACAATAGGGTATCATAAATGGTTTATTATGACTAGACTTCCAGTCGATTCTATTGTTCTTATATTCACTTCTGTCCTTATTTTTCTGTTGGATTATTTAATAAAATTTAATTTAATATTTTAACACAAATTAAATTTTAGACCAAAAATTATGAACAAAATTCAAAAATTCTTATTTCTTCTAACTCATAACTAAATTCTGAACAGATTAAAAATTCGATTAAATTCTAACCATAAATTGCGGTACAGTGTATTAGCTTATATAAATTGTTTAAAAAAATAATTTAAGTTTATCGAAGAACAGCTTTGTAATTAAAAATAAGTTCAATGGCAATAATCCAAAGCTAATTTATTCAAAAAAATTTTTTATTTGACCACAAACAACTTTAAAATGTAATTACTATTTAATTTGTTTGTAACAATTTTTCAGTTTAAAAACTTTCTTTTTAGTACTTGCCTACCCCTATAGACACTAAATATATGCAATATTGTACAAAAAAATTTAAAGTCAAAATAAACCCAAAAAGTTTATAAAATATAATAATATTTTTACAGTTTGCATTAAGAATCACTCGCATGGATTTTCAAAAATTTAAATTTTTTCAAAAAAAGAAATAAAAATATCAGTTTAAACATCCCACTTGGAAAGATTCCTCGGAAAGTGCCCCCTGGAGGTTCTATCAGAATTCCGCCGGAACTTCCAACGTAATTCCGTCGGAATTCCATCGGAGTTCCAAAGAATTTCCGATGGGATTCCGACGGAATTAGGACTCTAAAATTTTGAAAAAATCGGAATTCCGTCGGTACTCCGTCGGAATCCCATCGGAAATTCTTTGGAACTCCGATGGAATTCTGACGGAATTCCGTTGGAAGTTCCGGCGGAATTTTGATAGAACCTCCAGGGGGCACTTTCCGGGGAATCTTTCCAAGTGGGATCATTACACTCTTTTATTAAATATGTATCTTTTTTCACAATTTTAATTTTTTTCATCGTTAAATTTGTATGGGACAAACATCTATATGCTCAATTTTAGCATATTTATATACTCATTTTCATATTCTTATTTCTAATATGGAGGATATTCACATTTAAGTATATTTTAGATACTAAATGTAAGTTTTCATACTTTCATAAATCTCTATCAGTTGTTATAATTAATTCATAAATAAAATCAGTTTTTTCATGTGAATAATGAATTACTAAGTAATATTAAATGATAATAAAATTAATATTTAAATATTATTAAATATATAATATCAAGAATATGCTATTTTTAAGTATATAGATATGTGACGCTCCACGAGATAAGGGACCTATCTCCGAAATAATATTAGGCTTAGTTTTCATGTACGGTGCACGGAAAACTGAGCCTAATGTTATTTCGGGGATAGGTCGCTTCTCTCGTGGAGCGTCACATATTAAGTTCAATTATCTTTTTTTAAGTATAATTTGCATACTGTTTTCAAGTATCCATTTTTTCAGTGTGACAAAATAGTTATTTTCGTATCAAGGGCGCAAAATAGGTGATTGTGGCGCAGGCAAGGTTTTTTAAATCTCGCCTAAGCCACAATCACCTTTTGTGCCTTTGATATGAACGTAATTTTTTGTCCTACCTGGACGAAAAGTATGTCGTATGAGGGCACGACTGTTCTGAAAAGTGCAGATAAAAATACAAGAAAAAGTATAAGTTGCATAAGTGTGTGTGTGTGTGAATATAATACTGTAATATATTATAAACAGTAAAATTCCATTAGGCCTTCTTGACCACAAGAAGCGGGCGTAAAATTACTTTTACGCCCGCTTGCCTAACCCCGAGCGACAATGAGATACTTTGGGCCCGCTTTAAGTGCCCGAAATGACATACTTTTCGGGCAGGTAGGACAAAAACGTGATTTTTGGTACTTTTACCCTCACTTTTTTCAAAATGACTGCTCGATCTCTGACAATGGATAAATTTTTTTTTTTTCTTTGCAGGCTTGTAAAATTAGTCGGTTTTATTTATTATTTAAGAAAACTACTTTTTTTTTACTGTGGACCTTACGTTGGGCCGCGAAATCTTACATTGGGCTCTGTGTCCAATTTGAAAATTAGCTTCGAATTTATTTATTTGTAGAAAAATATTGGGCACTATATCTTGAATTGGGTCCAATATTTTGGGCACTTATACCACATGTTTGAACGCAGAATTTAATAGGGATAACGAATTAGTGGTCTCATTTAAGAAAACCATTTTTTGCATTGTAGGGTTCAACATTGGGCCCCAGGCCCAATTTTTTAATTTTAAAGATGTAGATTTTTTATTTCGAGCAACTTTTGTGTTGAACATTTTTTACGAAAATTCGTACTTTTCGAAACATTTGCAAGTTTCCATAATTTTTAAACACCATGTATATAAATTCAACACCTCAAGTAATTTTTATTAGTAGATTTGCTTTTTTATATTATCAACATGAATTTTCAAGGTGTTTTCTAAAAATTGAAGAAGATATAATATAAGTAGTAAGCAATAAAGTAAGTTAAATATAAATTTTTTTTATAATTTTTCTTTTCACAATTTAACAGAAATCAGAGGTGAATAAACCCTCATTGGGATTAACGACAGTAACTTTTGCAAGAAGTGTTCCAATGTCAACTTATTTGTCCTGTTTTATTGTTAGTGATTTTGTTGCACTCTCAAAAACTGCAAAACGACTTGATGGTACAACTTTTCCAATCAGTGTTTACACAACAAAAGCCAACAAGGAAAAGGGTACTTTTGCTCTTGACATTGGAGTGCAAATTATTGAATATTACATTAATCTCTTCAAAGTTGATTATCCTCTACCAAAAATGGGTATGTAATAATTAATTATTTCAAAATATTTTTTTTTATAAATTTAATAAAAGTATATTTCCAAATTTTTTTGAAGTTCATTTAAAAGTAAAAAATTATTTATAGATATGGCAGCAATTCCTGATTTTGTGTCAGGTGCCATGGAAAATTGGGGCCTTGTAACATACAGAGAAGCAAGACTTTTAGTTGATGATAAAATAAGTTCTTCAGCAAATAAAGAAGGTGTTGTTTCAGTGATTGCTCATGAATTTGCTCATATGTGGTTTGGAAATTTAGGTAAGATTCACTTTTTCCTCTTATATTATTTTAAAAATCTTAAAAAAAAATTCATTTTTAAATATACAGTGACGATGGCTTGGTGGAATGATTTATGGTTAAACGAAGGATTCGCAACTTATATGAGTTATAAAAGTTCAGATGCCATTCTTCCGGATTGGGGATTGGTTTGTAATTTTTTTAATTTGAAATTTAAATTAAATTCCCATTATAAATGATTTATTTATTAAAATTTTATTATAAACAATTTTCAGATGGATCATTTTCTTACTGAACAGTTGCATGTAGCTTTTCAAACTGATGCAAAACTCAGTTCCCATCCGATTGTTCAAACTGTCTCAAATTCTGATGACATAACAGCAATTTTCGACGTGATATCATACAATAAGGTAAGGATGTTTAATCAGTTACTTATATTTATTTATTTACACTTGTCTTTAAATTTTTGTTGAAATTATTGAATAAGAGAGAAAGGTCCATCTTCTTTGTAGCTCGTGCTGCTACCACCGTTGTGTGGATGTCGTTCGAATTAAGGGGGGGGAACCACATTAGGACTCTGTTTTTTTAACAGTACACAAAAAATTTAAATTGACTAGATTTGCATGAAAATGATTCCTTTAGGGTTTTTGAGGTCGCTTAATCCAAATTTGAAGTCAGATTTAAAAAATTCAAAATGGCGGACCCAAGATGGCGGAAAAAATTTAAAGTTGATTCGATTCGTTCAAAATTTGATATTCGGGGATTTTTGGGATCGCTGAATCCAGCGAATTCTGATTCAGCGATTCAAAAAACTCTTAAGTATCGAATTTTGAACGAATCGAATCAATTAAAAAAATTTCGCCATATTAGGTGGACATATTGGGTTCGCCATTTTGAATTTTGGATATACTTCCGAAGTAGGGGTACCTCCGATTTTAATAAAACTTGGTATACTAACGTATTTTGGTACGCTGATTACGAAAATGATAGTGAAAATTGGCGCAAATTTGATTATCATGGTAAAAACCATAAAAAACACCATAAAATCATGGTTTTTTACGATTATCTCGTAAAAAACAAAAAATTTCGAAAAAAGTTTTAGACAAAAGTTGTAGATCTCAAAAAAACACACATTTTATGTTTTATGCATTTTTTACCAAAAGTCATTATTTTTCGAGAAAAATGGTCCAAAAGTAATTTGCGGAAATTGTGGGGTGGAGTCTGCAGCAGCGGTAAATGCAAAATATAGTAAACACGGCCTTCGGCCGCGTAAGGTACTGCTCGCTTCTCTTTTTAAGAAATCTTGGCTAGAGGGGGTAGATATGGCCGAAAGTATTTTGCGGAATTCTTTGGATCCTGAGTAATGGTGAATATGATACTATATACGAGTCAAATAATATGTCTAACCATGACTGCTGTATATGTTTTCATTATCATGGTGTTTTTCGTAATCGTAATAATCGTAAAAACCATGATTTTATGGTGTTTTTTATGGTTTTTACCATGATAATCAAATTTGCGCCAATTTTTACTATTATTTTCGTAATTTTTAAAATCTGACATCAAATTTGGATTTAGCGACTCAAAAAACCCCCGAGTACCAAATTTTGAACGAATTGAATCAACTTTAAATTTTTTCCGCCATATTGGATCTGCCATTTTGAATTTTTTAAATTTGACCATAAATTTAGATTCAACGACCTCAGAAACTTTTAATACGATGATATGATATTTTTTGGAAACTTTTTTTTTGGGCCGTTTTGGGCCCACAAACGATTTCTCTATTAGTCTGCAAAGTGGTTAAAGGGATAAAATTTTTTAAATGAAATGCAAGAATGACATTATGTTGCACATATATTTAACTGTGTCTCACAATTTTTTTAATCATTTTTATTAAAAACATTCCAAGTTAACGGCCATTAAACATGGAGCTACACCGTCTGAGTTTATAATTGCTGTGCAAGATGGAGACCACAAATTTGATCTAAAAGAAAAAATTGAAGGTTATTCACATTTTATAGAGTAGAACGAGGTGAAAAAGCCATTTGGGGTTTAAATTAAATAAATAGTTTTATTGAATAGTTTTATCAGGCATTTAGAATATAAATTAAATTAGGTAATTTTGGTTAACTTTCCGAACATATTACGACTCGTTCAAGTTCAATTTTGAGATTTATTATAGCTTTTTGTAAAAAAGCCAAATACTTGTAGGAAAAAAGCCACTCTTAATAGTATGTAATATTCATTTGTTCTCTGGTATTTGTGACCTTGTCTTTTTTTAACGTCGAAAAAAAGTAAATTTTCTCTTATATTCTATATTGTTGTTACATTCGATTTAATTTTAATATTCTTTGAAATTTATTAAAATGACATTATTTGTTATATGTATAAATAAACAAAACACAAAAATTGATAATATATTTTGCCCGAATCGCAAAGTGGCTTTTTCACCCCACCATGTTGTGTAAAAAAGCCACTTGCAGTGTTCTAGTAAAACTTATATAATTTTGTCCTTTCATTGGATACGAAGATTGTCCGATCAGGATTTTAAAGCTGAAGAACTAAACTTTCAGAAGAAAATAAAATTTCGAAAAAAAAATTTAATACCGAGTTTACATATTAAAAAATGAAAAAGTTTGAAACAATTTGCAAATTTTTTTTTAAATCGGTCAATAACATTTTGAGCTATCCTGTATAGCAATTTCAAAAATCCTGTTTCAAGAAAAACGCGTTTGAAAAAAAGTATCGAAAATTTGAAAATTATGATAAGAAAAAAACCATTTAAAGTGCTTAAATTTTAATCTGTTATTCTTGTACCATACATTAGTCCTTCCTTTTCTTCATAAGTCAAATTTTAAATTTAGAAAGGGACTTCCTCAGCGACGCCGTTAACAATCTGCTTCGCTACTCGGAGCGAGCTTCATTCATTGCTCGTAGCACAGACAGGACATCGTATTTCGCTATAAAAACTTTTTAAGCATACTCGGGGATTTTCGGGGCCGCTATGACGAATTCGGTGACCGTTTTTCAAAATTCAAAATGGCCGATCTAATATGGCGGATACATTTTTTAAATTTGACGGTTTTGCTTGAAACTCGTTATTCAGGAGTTTTCAAGGTCGCTGATTACTAATGTGATATTAGTAAATTGTATTGATTTTTAATTTTCTTGTCCGCTATATTGGATCCGCCATTTTGAATTTTAAAAAACGGACACCGGATTCTTCATCAACGAGCCCAATAAGCTCCGAGTAACGTTTGCTCCGTAAATAGTAAAACTACTATTTCTAGAGTAAACTTTACTATTTTAGTACAAGGAACAAGTTTTGGTGCATAAGATGCGCAATCTACGGTAGAACTGTTGTACTATGGGTTGAGGGCAACTGTTATCCTGATTTGGCGCGTCAGGAGCGCTGTGATGTCCGTTTTTAAAGTACAAAAAATTTTTAACTAACCAGTACAACCGGTGCACCAAAATTTTTTCTATTTTCGGAGCAAAAGTTGTCAGAAATGCGCAGAAGTTTAGTTCCGTAGTGCTTTAAATACTCCTGCATCTTCGTCCATATTAACAGTCGGAACTATCAAAACGGTGTTCAAAAGCTTAGTATGTGGCAGGATAGAATGATCAGAACAGTAAGATTAGTATTTATGTGGACAGTTAGATGACCTTGCACGCACTGAAAAATCCGATAATTAAATGAAATTTAGTCAGTCATGCCGTAATGTTCTGGACGAGCTGGGTTTAAGAGATAAACTCTCATTAATCTGGGTATCAGGTCACTCGTAAATCAAAGGAAATGAGGAAGCAAATGTGCGAGGTTAAGGAAATCATAGAACTATATGGAGTAAGAGTTGTCATGAGAAGAACTAGAACTAGAACTCGGTTTAGGAAGTTAGGACTCTTTTCCCTATTGAAAATCCTTGTACAAGAAAATGTACATGTTCAGCAGCTGAAGTTGTATCTGTTCTGGTGAGAACATGTACAAGTTCTTGTACAATTTCGGCATCAGAATTTGGGACAAGTTCTAGTACGAGAACTTGTACAAGTAAATATATTTAATATTTGTATACATGAAAATTTACATGTTCATATTAAATGTGCAGGTTCATTTATGTCTTGGTTTAGTAAAAATTAAAAACTTTGAAGGCTGCGCAGTAGTTTTCTAAGGACTTTACAGCTGCGCAATAATTTTTAGCATGCATATTACCCTATAAGATCTTGTGCAAGTTCTCGTACAAGAACTTGTTCCAAATTCTAGTGCCGAAATTGTACAAGATCTTGTACATGTTCTCGCCAGAACAGGTACAAGTTTAGCTGCTGAACATGTATATTTTCTTGTACAAGATCTTGTACAGGGTTTTTTTTAATAGGGCCTCTCACTTGGCCTTCTGGAAAAAAGACAGATTTCTAAGTTGGTTTTTTTTTGCATCGAGATGGCTAGAGGGTTAGGTACAATGGGTTTCGATTTAGTTGCTGACTTTCGTCACACGGAACCTTAGGTTGACCTCGTATTAGATTAAAAACTTATGATAAAATTGATTTTATCACTAAATATTAATAAAAATGGTTAATCCATTCTAGGGTGCATCTGTTCTAAGGATGTTGAACGATTTTGTTGGCTCGGATGTATTTTATGAAGGAGTCACAACCTATTTGAAAAGAAATGCTTATCGAAATGCAGAAACAGCGGATCTCTTTTCCATTCTACAGGAATCTGTTGGTAATCGTATTAATATTAATGCAATTATGGACACCTGGACTCGTCAAATGGGTTTTCCTGTTATAAATGTTTCTGTCAAATCAAAGACTTCCTATACTTTAACCCAAAAACGTTTTCTCGCTGATCCAAAAGCTCAGTTTAATGCTTCAGATTCAGAATACGGGTACTACTATAATTCAATATTTTCAATTATAATTACTATTTGAACATAAATTAAGAAGTTAAAATAATAAATGTTAAATTATAATTTACAGTTACAAATGGACTATTCCAGTTACTTACATCACAAGCGCTAATTCGACTCCAACTTTGATTTGGTTTAATAACGATGCGAAAAATTGTAATTATAATAATTATTAACTTTAGTTAAATTTTATATTATCAAAATTAATGTATTTTATTTTATTCGCCAAGTGGTGATCAAGCTTGACGAACCAGTTGATTGGATAAAATTCAATTGTGATCAAATTGGATACTATCGTGTAAATTACGAAACTGCTGAATGGCATAAACTTGCAGATGTTCTACGATGGAATCATAAGGTATTTTTGATTTTATTATTATTTTTTTTTATTATTAACAAAATATTTTAGTTTCCTTTAATAATTCTTTTTTATTCTGTATCTCAAGAGATTTTCCACTTCGGATAGAACACACATTTTGGAAGATGCTTTTAGTTTAGCTGATGCTGCTGAACTTGACTACAATATAACTATGGATATGACTAATTATCTATCATCGGAACTTCACGCTGTTCCGTGGGATATGGCATCCACTAAATTTTTGCAAATGAACACTTTACTCTCTTCGACTAGTGCATCCTCAAAATTCCAGGTAACTCAGTCAATTGTTTTACTTTAGTTTCTACAGCGTCTTAAAATCACTGAGTGACGCCACGGTGCGCCAGAAGGAGGTTTAAATAAAAATGAATTGACATTTAAAAATTCTTTTTGATTATGGTTCTAAGATGAATAAAAAACTTTTCTCAATAGGTTTTAAAATCAGCTTACGTACCCAATTTAAAACAAATTGAGTTTTAAATATTTAAAAATAGTATTTTATGAGGAACCAGAATTTATTTAATGTATACTTATATGCGTATAGATAATAGATGTTTTAGATTTGAATTCATATAAATTTATTAACAATAAAGTTATTTTCTTGTTTCGTTTTTATATTTATACATTAAGAGTGTCGAACGGTATCTGAAATTCTTTGACAAGAAAAATGCTTTAATTATCGCTCTGAACGTGAAATAGTATTGATTTTAAAATACTTTTTTCTCGAAAGACGAACACTTTTAACAAAATCAGCCAAAATCCTCATCTTATAAATTTCCTAAATCCAAAAGACTGTACGAATCCATAGAAAAACATGGTTGCAAAACAAAAAGTAGAAAAGTAATCTAATAACAGTTGCGACTTTGTGCGCCCTGCATGCTGTTGCCATCTGACGGCGACAGGAGGTAATGTACCTGTCATTATATTACTTTTCGTTTTGCAATCGTGTTTTTGTATGGATTCGTATAATCTTTAGGATTTAGGAAATTTATATAAGATAAGGATCTCTAGCTGCTTTTGTAAAAAGTGTCCGTCTTTCGAGAAGAAAGTATTTTAAAATCAATTTTTATCATTTTCACGTCTAGTACCGTTTTTATAGAGCGATAATTAAAGGTCTCTTCTTGCCAAAAAATTTCAGAGATCATTCGACTCTCTTAAATAAATTTTGTCACTCTTAAAATCGTTCTTTTAACATTATAATTTAATTTTTTTTAAATCGGACACAAACACTACAGCAATATAATTATTTATATGTAAAATTGAAAATAAGTAATTATTTTATCATTTATTACAGTATTTATTAGATTAAATAAATTCTGATTCCCCATAAAACACTGTTTTTATATAAAAACTCAATTTTATTTAAATCGGGCACGTAAACTGATTTTAAAAACTATTGAGAAATGTTTGTTATTCATCTAAGAATCATAATCAAAAAGAATTTTTAAGTGCCAATTCATTTTTATTTAAACCACCTTCTGGCGCACCGTGACGCAAGTTTGTCGCGCGGTTTAGTTTGGTTGTCTTAATGGAAACCTCCCCTTAAATGAAATAATTTAGCATGAAATAGTTTAGTAATGTAGAATGTTTATTTTGAAAATCAATTTTTATAGTAAATATTAATCTTTTTATATAGGAATATGTTCGAAATTTGGTAGATCCTATCTACCATGAAGTTCTTTGGAAAGTCGAAAATGTTGATAGTTACGTAACTTTGTGAGTACATGATCAGTATTAACGTATTATTAGCATCTCATTTTTCTTCTCTGTCTTTACTATTATCACTTCTATTATGTAGAAATCTCAGAACTGTGATACTTGAATTGGCTTGTGAAATGGGTCACACTGAATGTTTAGAGGAAGGAGGTGAAATTTTCAAAAAATGGATTAATGATCCCAAAGATGAGCGCCCTCATCCTGATATTAGATCAACCGTCTATTATTACGGTAATTTAAAAATCCATATGTAACAAATTTTAATCCTTGCAATTTTAAATTGGTAATAATTTAAAAAATTAACTAAAATTAGAAAGAAAGAAATTTTAAAAACTTATTAACTAGGTATGAGTCACATTGGTGGAGAGGCAGAATGGAATAAAATGTTTGAAAAATTTACAAAGGAAACAAATTCTCTTGAGAAATTAAAATTAATGCGTGGTTTAGCTGGTGTACGCTCAGCTTCATTGCTTAACAGGTTAGAAAATTTGTTTTAAATTTTACAAAATAATAAAAAAGAAATTTTAAATATAACATTTATTTTTGGCTTTTATTTTTAGATTTATTTCTTACGCAATGGATGAAAATTATGTACGAGCACAAGATGCTTTTTCATGTTTGCGTCAAATCTCAGCAAATCCCGTTGGTACTCCACTAGTTTGGGATTGGGTGCGAGGAAATTGGGAATTTCTTGTTAAAAGATATACATTAAACGATCGTTATTTAGGTCAATTGATCCCGGCGATTACAAAATCATTTTCTACAGAAGTAAAATTAAATGAAATAACAGAATTCTACGCGAAATACCCGGAAGCAGGTGCCGGTGCCTTATATAGAGTTAGAGCTCTTGAAACTGTCGTTAACAACATTAAATGGTTACAGAAGAATGAGGCGAAAATTGAAGCTTGGTTAAATTCTCGGTGAAATAGTTGAAAAATTGTTTCATTTTGTTTAATATAAGTTACGTTTTCATTTACTCGATCTCTTTTTCTTTTTTTAAATCTGAATATTTTCAAACACATATATATAAATATATAGATTCAGATTTAGAGATTAAAGAAAAGTATTTATCAGTCATTTATTTGCAATATTAAAGAATTAAGTCGACTGATTATTAATAGTCTGAAAAATAATGTATTTCTTTACATTTTTACAGAGTTTTTACTTTTTAATGTTACTCATTAATATTATTCTAAGAATAAAATAAAAAAGTTCTTTAATAATTTATTGTTGTTTTTTTAACGAATTAAAATCCAATGTTAATACCACAAGTCAAAAGAAGGAAGATGTTCTTTAATTTTGGTTTAAAACAGTGTATGCTATTAACGGTTTCTTAGTTTTTAATTTACATGCAAAATAATATTTAACTTTCATACTTTCCTCTTGATAAAATTTGTATGCTGACATAGAGGAGGAATACTTGTAAAATAATCTAATACAAACTATTTATAAATACGCAAAAAGTTCATTAGTGAATTCTAAAAAATATCGGGCTCAATTAATTAACATTATTTATTTTATTGTTAATAAATATATTATTTGTTGAATTTTCAGTTATTTTCTAAAGAAGAAGAAAAAGTGTACCCCAACTGAAATTCTCTATGAATTATAAAATAAAACAATAATTTTGATTATCGGAGAATTCAAATTAAAATTGGTTGCGCGCCACTTCCAGTAAATTAATGTCAGCCAATCAACGCCCGGCGTTCTGTGTTCTACCCTCTCCAGCGTCGAGCGTCACTTCAAGAATAATCTCAGCCAATCAACGCCAGGCGTTCTGCGTTCCACCACCTCCAGCGACGCGCGCAACTCCATCGACACTTGTCGAGTCTTCACCCATTTAGTCCGCCATCAGCCACGTGCCAGCAACGTCCAGAATTGAGGTGAGTTTTTCTCAATTACTTATCCCAGATACCACTCCCTTTTCCAGGAAGTTAACCATGTAAAGTTCCTTACTTAACTCTGTCATTTTCCAGTTAAATTGCATGAATTTCTATATATCCCCCTTTTTTCTTTCCTTTGTTAACTTTTCTAGTACTTATCAATTATTTACTAGAAAAATGCAAAGGATTATTTCTAAAATATTAAAGTCTTAAGTTTTAAAGTTTGTAGTTTAAAATTTTTTTTAAATTATATAATCGGAGTACTTTAAATAATTACTTTGGAATTTCCTCGAAAATAAAACTAAATTTTTTTTTGTAATTGGGACATTCCACTTGAAGCGGGCAATCTCTATCCTGGTTTGTTTTTCAATATTATTACTTTTAAATATTACTAATTTATTAAAAATATATTAAGCGAAGGAAAATGGGTAAATATTTTGTATTAAATTTAATTTCCTTGACGGCATTAAATTTAATACAAAATATATATCTATTTTCCTTCGTTTTGTGAATTTTTAATAAATTAATAATATTTAAAAGTAATAATATGAAAAAGAAACAAGAGGGGGTTGTCCTCTTCATCTAGAAAGCCCCAAATGTCATTAAATAAGTTTAATATGTGCATAATATTTAATTATATATATTATATATTTTAACATTGTTTTAATTAATATTTTTGTATAAATATTATTACTTACAAAATTTTTAAAATCTCTTAAAAATATTGATAATAAAAAGATGTTTTTTTGTCAAAAAAAAACTTCTTTTTATTATCAATATTATTAATTATTACTATTTTTTTTATTATTACAATGAAATACATAATTGCACATATGTGACCTAGACAGTGAAAAGAGGGTTCACGTGAGAAAAAATTTATTTGTTATTGATTGTTTATTCTGATAGAAAAAACTTTTTTCTAACAGAATCACCAATCAATAAAAAATTTATTTTTTCGCACTTATGCCCCCTTTTCACTGTCCAGGTCACATATATGCAATTATGTACTTCATACTAATTGTAAAAAAAAGTAATAAAGAATAATATTGATACAAAAATATTAACTAATTAAATAATATAGAAAATATTAAATATATAAATAAATATTATTTGTAAGTTAGTTTTATTTTCGAGGAAATTAAAATGTAAATAAACATTTAAAGTACTCTAAAATTATAATTTAAAAAAAATTTAAACTATAAACATTCTTTAAAACTTAAGACTTTAAAATTTTAGAAACAATCCTTTGCATTTTTAAAGTAAATGAACATTGATAAGTAGTAGAAGTAAACAAAGGAAAGAAAAAAAAGGGAGGGGGATATAAAGAAATCCATGGAAGTTAACTGGAAAGTGACAGAGTTAAAACCGGGACAGACCATGGTTAACAGAAGGAAAAGGGACTGGTCGAAGGGAAAGTAAGAGAAGAACTCCACCAAGAGGAAGGACAGGACGTACGTGGTTGGAAGGTGGAGAAGAAGAAGAATGATAAAAAGAAGAATTACACAAAAATATGTTAATTTATTTAATAAATTTTTATTCAAAATATCTTTTGTCTTTTCTTTGTGTACTGTTGCCTGGTTGCCTCCTCACGTCAGCCACGTACATCCTGTCCTTCCTCTTGGTGGAGTTCTTCTCTTACTTTCCCTTCCACCAGTCCCTTTTCCTTCTGTTAACCATGGTCTGTCCCGGTTTTAACTCTGTCACTTTCCAGTTAACTTCCATGGATTTCTTTATATCCCCCTCCCTTTTTTTTCTTTCCTTTGTTTACTTCTACTACTTATCAATGTTCATTTACTTTAAAAATGCAAAGGATTGTTTCTGAAATTTTAAAGTTTAAGATTTAAAGAATGTTTATAGTTTACGTTTTTTTTAAATTATGTTTTTGGAGTACTTTAAATGTTTATTTACATTTTAATTTCCTCGAAAATAAAACTAACTTACAAATAATATTTTTTTATATATTTAATATTTTCTACATTATTCAATTAGTTAATATTTTTGTATCAATATTATTCTTTATTACTTTTTTTTACAATTAGTATGAAGTACATAATTGCATATATGTGACCTGGACAGTGAAAAGGGGGCATAAGTGCGAAAAAATAAATTTTTTATTGATTGGTGATTCTGTTAGAAAAAAGTTTTTTCTATCAGAATAAACAATCAATAACAAATAAATTTTTTCTCACGTGAACCCTCTTTTCACTGTCTAGGTCACATATGTGCAATTATGTATTTCATTGTAATAATAAAAAAAATAGTAATAATTAATAATATTGATAATAAAAAGAAGTTTTTTTTTGACAAAAAAACATCTTTTTATTATCAATATTTTTAAGAGATTTTAAAAATTTTGTAAGTAATAATATTTATACAAAAATATTAATTAAAACAATGTTAAAATATATAATATATATAATTAAATATTATGCACATATTAAACTTATTTAATGACATTTGGGGCTTTCTAGATGAAGAGGACAACCCCCTCTTGTTTCTTTTTCATATTATTACTTTTAAATATTATTAATTTATTAAAAATTCACAAAACGAAGGAAAATAGATATATATTTTGTATTAAATTTAATGCCGTCAAGGAAATTAAATTTAATACAAAATATTTACCCATTTTCCTTCGCTTAATATATTTTTAATAAATTAGTAATATTTAAAAGTAATAATATTGAAAAACAAACCAGGATAGAGATTGCCCGCTTCAAGTGGAATGTCCCAATTACAAAAAAAAATTTAGTTTTATTTTCGAGGAAATTCCAAAGTAATTATTTAAAGTACTCCGATTATATAATTTAAAAAAAATTTTAAACTACAAACTTTAAAACTTAAGACTTTAATATTTTAGAAATAATCCTTTGCATTTTTCTAGTAAATAATTGATAAGTACTAGAAAAGTTAACAAAGGAAAGAAAAAAGGGGGATATATAGAAATTCATGCAATTTAACTGGAAAATGACAGAGTTAAGTAAGGAACTTTACATGGTTAACTTCCTGGAAAAGGGAGTGGTATCTGGGATAAGTAATTGAGAAAAACTCACCTCAATTCTGGACGTTGCTGGCACGTGGCTGATGGCGGACTAAATGGGTGAAGACTCGACAAGTGTCGATGGAGTTGCGCGCGTCGCTGGAGGTGGTGGAACGCAGAACGCCTGGCGTTGATTGGCTGAGATTATTCTTGAAGTGACGCTCGACGCTGGAGAGGGTAGAACACAGAACGCCGGGCGTTGATTGGCTGACATTAATTTACTGGAAGTGGCGCGCAACCAATTTTAATTTGAATTCTCCGATAATCAAAATTATTCTTTTATTTTATAATTCATAGAGAATTTTTGTTAAAATAAATTTTATAATACGATTGTCTGACGTATCTTCTGCTCGTGTTCACATGGAAAATCTCCGAAACCTCTTCTTGTTCAGGAAACAACTGCATACTATAAAATTGTTATTTATTATTTTTTATTTCAAAAACTATTATTAACAATATAATAAGTAATAATAATGAATTAACTATATGTTTATAATAATTTGTAGGAAATAATTGTCAGGTTAAATAATAAATTATAATTTAATGGAATCATCCACTTTTTTCTGAAATTGTTATATATTACCAAATAATATATTTTATAAATGTTTTTTTGATTTTTTATTTGTTTAAACAATTTATTATTAATAATTCATATCTATATCAAATGTACATATAGACAGTAGCAAAATTTTATAAATTTCTTACCTTTTTCTTTGGAGTTATTAATTTAAAGGTTATAAATATAATAAAATATAAAATTAAATTTTGCAATAACTATTATAATAAATTGTTTAAACAAATAATTGTTGCTATTTATAAACTTTTTTTATAATGCACCTAGAAAGATTAATTTTTTTCTAATTTTGCAATTTATCAAGCCGAATATAATAAAACATAGATTTGGTGTAAAATTATTAATTCAACCCTTGTTTAAACAATTTATTGTTGTTATTTATTAACTATTTTTGTATTGCACCTAGAAAGATGCCGTTTTTATAATTTTGCAATTTATCAAATCGAATATAATAAATGATAGATTTGATGTGAAATTATTAATTCAACAATTGTTTGAACAATTTATTATTGTTATTGACTAACTTTTTTTTATTGCACCTAGAAAAATGCCGTCTCTTTACCTTTTACGATATAGATCGCTTATTAGATTGCAAAACTTGAAAAAACTGCATCTTTCTAGGTCAGATGAAAAAAGTAAGTTAATAGCAATATTTATTTGTTTAAACAATTGTCGAATTAATAGTTTTACATAAGATCTATCTTTTATTATATTGGGCTTGATAAATTGCAAAATTAGAAAAAACGGCATTTTTTTAGGTACAATACAAAGAAAGTTAATAAATGAAAACAATAAATTGTTTAAACAAATAAAGAATGCAATATATTATTTTTTATCCATTATTTGACAACATAAAAGTCTTACAGTAAAAAGTCTGACCCACCCTGGGTGGGTATCCCGTCCGGCGAAGATTAATTAATAATATAATTTTATAATAATAATTAATATTATTTTTAAATAAATGAAAAATGTTGCTTTTATATAAATAATTATTAACCTATTTCACTGAAAAAATTCTTTTCAAATATACCTTTTTCACGTCCTAAAAATATATGTTAATAAATATATGCTATAATTTTGTATTTTTAAGAATTAATTTTGCACAACTTACTTTTCAATACTAAAGTAAATTACTAAAAAGAAATTAAAAAACAAAAAAAAATTAAATGAAAACCCGATGATTAAATTTGTTACTTTCAGGAAAATAACCCATATCTACCGACTTTAAAAATGACGTTTTGAGATAAACGCGTTTAAAAACTGAATTTACTTGCAAAATCCGTGGTTTTAATAAGCAAAAATTACCCTCATTTTAGAACACCTCCCCTATATAATTTTCAGGAAGAAATGGGTCGATTGCTTTCAAATCGACGATAGAGTATTTGAACAATGCTGATAAACGTGTAAATAACATCTGACCTTTTAATATATGTAAAAGATGAGGGTTTCTATAAGGGTGAATATAATACTTGAAATTCGACAGCTTTGATCTATTAAGTGCGGTGTTAATATGACAGATCAATATATATATGGACGTGGTATGTGGGGGATTAATAGATGTATATATATATTCTAATCCTAGTTATAACTTAAAAAGAATTTTCAAAAATTTACACATTTTAATTTTTATTTCATCAAATTCTATATGGCTCATTTCATTTAAAAGGTAAAATACAGCTTGCATGAAAGTTATGATGGGAACATTCGATTTTGGATTTGTAATCAAGTTTTTTATATTATTTAATGTTTTAAAAAATCGAAATGGATAGTGGTTATAACATTAGACGTAAATATTTGAAATGGCAGACAGTTTTTTGGCAGAATATGATCACTACCCAGATAGCACGGAAACTTGCAGCAAGCTTGCGGCAAGTTCACCGTGAAGGTTGCTGCAAGCTTGTCTGAGCTAGCGAAATATCCCACCCAGGGCAAGCTTGTCGTGAAAGCTTGCTGTAAGCTTTCCAGGAAAGGTTGCTGCAATCTTGCCATGAAAGATTTCTACAAGATTGCTGCAAGCATACTAAGAATGATTGGGGCAAGCTTGCCGTGAAAGATTGTTGTAAGCTTGCTATGTAAGGTTGCAGGAGAATTTCAACAAGCTTCTGGAAAGGTTGCTGCAAGCTTGCCGCAATTTTTAAAAAATACATTTTAAATTTTAAAAAAATTTATTTGTTTTTTTTAAATTTGAAAATCCTTGTGACGTTTATTATTATTAATTATGTCCTGTTTATTTTCATTTGGAAACTTAACGAGAAAATTTTCGAAACAAATTTGAGGGGACTAGGAATTGAACCCGTGTTCGACAGACACTAACCAAAGACCCTAACCGAGAACCTACTCGACCAACTATCAGAGAATAAAAAAATCTTTTCTCGTTAAGTTTCCAAATGAAAATAAACAGGACATAATTAATAATAATAAACGTCACAAGGATTTTCAAATTTAAAAAAAACAAATAAATTTTTTTAAAATTTAAAATGTATTTTTTAAAAATTGCAGCAAGCTTGCAGCAACCTTTCCAGAAGCTTGTTGAAATTCTCCTGCAACCTTACATAGCAAGCTTACAACAATCTTTCACGGCAAGCTTGCCGCAATCATTCTTAGTATGCTTGCAGCAATCTTGTAGAAATCTTTCATGGCAAGATTGCAGCAACCTTTCCTGGAAAGTTTACAGCAAGCTTTCACGGCAAGCTTGCCCTGGGTGGGACATTTCGCTAGCTCAGACAAGCTTGCAGCAAGCTTGGCAAGCTTGCACGGTGAACTTGCCGCAGGCTCGCTGCAAGTTTCCGTGTTATCTGGGTGTTGTTGTGACTATGATTTTTGCAAATTTTTGTTCTAAACAAGTTGATGTTTTAGAAAATCATTTCAATTTTACTTTTTAAATATTTTAAAGCATGAAAGAATATTATTTCACACACAAACCTTATTTCTATAAGGATTTTTTTGATTTTGAAATAAGAATAAGAAACGACTGAAAAAATGTAAAATAAATTTCTTTGGTTTTCGTTCTACTTTATTTTTTTAAAATAAATGAACGTTTTTTATATTTTGTGTAAATGTTAAGATGTATTTATCTAAATAAATATTAATTCTATTGCGTGAGCAACAAACTTTTTATTTTTATACACAAAATGAGAGAAGATTGGTTACGGCTACTTCGGGACAGTAGGGGACAAATTATATTGATTACATGGAACCACAAAATTTATTGGATCTTGTTTTTTCATATGTACATTTTTTTGAGTCGCTGTATTCGAATTCATCATCACGTCAAGGTTTTTTGTCGAATGAAGAAATTTCTATTCAGATATCTGTGAACCCGATGTTATTGAACTTTTAGGAAATAATAAAATTCAAATTATGAACAATTTAAGTTATACAGCAAAGAAATAATTATGTTGTGTGAAGCAATCAATTAAATCATTTGAATACTAATTTTTGTTGTCTGATTTCAAAAATTTTAAATAGAGGATACAATATGTTGAACAAATTTTTAAAAATTGCTTCTATTCGTTTAATTTTTATTTTTTAGAGATTTTGGAAGGTCAATGATTATAAATCTTACATAAAAATTAAAATTTTAAAACGACAAATTAAAAATTAATCAAATTTGCTTACAACTTGTTATTTAAGGGTTGCTCTTAAAGAGGGAAATGAAATTACTTTTAAAAATTGTACATGGCACACGAATTAAAAAAAAAATCGGCAAAATTTTAACTGCATTGGAAGTAATTCACAATAAAAAATAAATTATTTTCGAAAAAATTGACTGTCAATGATAAAAAAAAAAAATAGAGACTATAACGATTTTTAGCTTCAAAAGTGTCAATAATTCTTTATTTTATGGGACTTAAAGAAATAGAGGATAGAGTAAAAAAATCGAAATTATTGTTAAAAAATATAACCTTTCAATAGTGCACAGATTATTTATATACCATTGCAACTGCTCACTAACGAGACAGATAAATGTATAACAGAAAAATATTTTTGCCATTTTACCGTTCCATATAATAACTCTTTGGGATATAAAAAAGTAAAAAAAAGACGAGAAAATATCACCTTGAGTTTATGTTCAGTAATTGTCAATTCGATTAGAACCAGCCGATAAGCCATTAAATGACATTTAATTAAGACGTAACAGGAAAACTAGAAATTCCATTTAATGTTTCATTTAAAATCTCAAACACTTTTTTAAATTATTAGAAATTATTATTATTATTATTCTTAATTATATTGTAAAATTATTAGATTCTTCATTCTTCGACATTATACAAATCAATATTTATTATATTTTTAATATATCATACCACTTTTTTTACAATTTATTTTATTTTTAGCCAAGCATAATTATTGGCTAATTTAGACATTAGAAAATAAAAATGTTGTTTGTAATAATTAAATGTCTGTGAAGCAAAATCATAATAAATATGTACGCTATAATTAAACCAATTTTCGATAATTAATCTGTGGATCTTCTATTATCTGATATTTAATTAGAAAATTTATACTAAATCAAATAAAATTTTAGTTAAAATTAATTAACCTTTTTTTGATATTTGTTGAATAATAATTTTCTAATTAAGCTAAAACTAATAGAAATTCCGCTCAGCTAATTAACACATAATTGGCTATCTTTTGATATCGCTTTTCATATTGTCAATTCAAATAATTCTCAAAAAGATGTGATCAAATATGACACAATAAATTAAAAAAAAAAAAACAAACAAACAAAAATCTAATTGTGTATTATGATGAATTTTATGGTATTGTAAATTCTTGTAAATGAATTAATAATTATCAGATGAAGAGAAAATGCGATTGAGTAACCAAGA